CGTTGATGAGATCTATGTAACCAATGCAAAGAATGATTACTATTTGAAAGTAATGGAGAACTTGTGAGCATTCTTTGTGCTTCCCTTTTTGAAAAATAATAGGTTGGAGAACTTTTGAAGGACTGGAGTCGTCTTAATGTTGCCATTACAAGAGCCAAACATAAATTGGTTATGCTGGGCTGTGTACCATCCCTTTGTCTCTATCCTCCCCTGAAGAAATTACTTCATCATCTGAAGAATGAAGCTATGATATCCTTTCTTTTTCATTTACATAGACCAGGGGTCTTCAAACTTGGGCCTTTGTGACTTGTGGACTTCAACTCCGAGAATTCCTCAGCCAGGCATGCTGGCTGAGGAATTCTGGGAGTTGAAGTCCACAAGTCATAAAAGGGCCATGTTTGAAGACCCCTGACATATATATACAGTGTTATCTTTTTGGCCAAGCTGCTGAAATGAAGACTTTTCAGGCCTCCTAAATGAAGATGAAAAAAATGTAAAATATTAATCAACTCTTAAATCTAGTCTGAAAGGACAAGTTTGCTTCTTTATCACTTTTCATTTAAAAAAAAATAATTGGAAGATTTTGGAATCTTTTCTCAGAACACTTGAAGTGAATTGTGTTCTGATTAGACAAAATTAAAAATATTTTAAGTATTTAGCTAAAAGGAACAATGGGACAGTTTTTGGAAAGCGTGGGAATTTTATCCCTTGATCCCCCCCCCTTTTTTTGTCTCAGAGCATCAAAAGTAGATAAAGTGATTGTCTGTTTTGAATATTGTCTGCTATCTCCCGATGTAAACATTAGCTAAAAGGATAATGGTTTTTTAAAATCGCCTCTCTGGACTGGTGGTACTTTGGGAGGTGAGAGAAAGGCTAGCTATTAGTCTAGCACAGGGATGTCAAACTGCTGGGCGTCATGGCGAAACCACGCCCATCTCATTGCCGGCAATGGGAAAAAAGTCATGATATGTCACGACAGGTCACGTGACATTACGAGTTTGACACCCCTGGTCTAGCAGGAAGAATTTGATCTTGAGAAAAACCAAATGCTGTACCAATCAGTGTCCAAATGTATGCAATAAGGTGCTGTGCATCACCTGCCCTAGAGCACGCTGTTCTTAGGACACTACTGCAGTTGGTGAGCAAATGGGGAATTATTGCTGACCAAATCATCCACCTAGCACAGAAATGGTTTGCTTTCTTGCTAGGATAGTGCAAAATGCCTGTGGAAGGAACCAAGGATGCCCCATTAATTAGAGAGCTTCCAGTATTACTTAGTATAAGACAGGGGTCTTCAAACTTGGCAACTTTAAGACTTGTGGACTTCCACTCCCAGAATTCCTCAACCAGCCAGTCTGGCTGGCTGAGGAATTCTGGGAGTTGAAGTCCACAAGTCTTAAAGTTGCCAAGTCTGAAGACCCCTTTTATAAGAGATGGGATGATTACCAATGATGTCAAATTCTAAGTTGGTCTTAATTGCAACACCAGTTTTGATTGTCACAAATCTATGCTTAATTCACCCCACCTTCCCTGACTCCTCGCATCGACTACCTCGAGGGAATGATAGTTGGGGCAAAAATTACTTGTTGCTTCTTATACCATTTATTTTGTTCACATGGCTTGAAGGAAGCATTAACCTGGTTGAGGAAACCCCATTTGGAAGTGAAACATCACTCATGCTTAAAACAAGATTTTGATAAGGAAAGATTGTATTTGAATTGAAATCCATCTTTCCATCCATGGAGACAATTTTAGCATTGTTTGCTCATTCTTCTGGTGGCTTAAGTTAACTGTTAAATCAGAGACCCCCAATCTTTTAGGCACCAGGGACCAGTTACATGGAGGGTAATTTTTCCACAGACTGGGGTGGCGGTGGTGGTTTTGCGTAGTCCTTGGATCCCGTGCGTACACGGATGGGGCTTCATTCGCTTGCATGGCCTGGTTCCTACAGCCCAGAGGTTGGGAACCCCTGTGTTAAATGTTATAGAAACTGTATTGAGGTAGAAGTTGAACCCTTAGTAGAGATGGAAACACTGCAACTGCTGATAACAGGAGTAAACATGGTTTATAATCTTCTGAAAAGTATGCAGGCCAGGGCATTCTTATGTGGGACTAAGTCTCTTAAACATATTGGCAGCAATAGATTGTGTTCATTATATCTCTCTTAAGTTAATGATACATTTTAAACTTGATGGGAATTTAGCAGTTCTGAGAAGATACTTCTTTAGCTCCATGTTCTGCTTCATTTCATAGGTAGTCCTCACTTACTGACTGCAGTTGAGACCAGCACCTCTGTTGCCAAGCGACATAGTTGTAAATTGAAATATGTGACTGCATCTGATTTATGATTGCAGTTTGTCACTTCCGGCTGTGTCGTTAAGTGAATCACCTACTGTGACATCATGTAACTGTGACTTGTAACTTCCTGCTTCCCTATTGAATTTGCTTGTTAGAAGCCAGTTGTGAAGGTTGCAAATAATGATTATGGGTTGCTGTGACTGTCATAAATGCATACCAGTTTCCTGAATCGTAATTATGTGACTGCAGGGACACCATAACTATGAATGGTCATTGAAGGAGTGATCAGTAAGTGTGGATGGCCTGTATACTCTAATGATTCAAAATATGGTATAAGTCAGATACCTAAATATTATACAGGTTAAGCATTAAAACCTGACACAATTTTCATTGTATGTGAACTAAAAAACATGTTTTCCTTAATGTTTCTTACATTTTCAGTATTCCTTTAGGAGCATATGAACATGTTTTGCATTGTAAACTCTTGTGACAAAGAAACATTGAGAAGAAAATCTTCACTAATATGAAGCTGATACACTGAATTCTGCCAGAAGGTGCTAAACTGAATTATTCCAGCTTCTTGTTCTACACATTAATGATGCCTTAAATAGATATTTGGGCATTTTAAAAACAGAGCTTAAAGGATTATCACGGTGTGTGTACTTGTATTTTTCCCATTTTGAAAAATAGTAATTAATTGAGTATTTTGAATTCTGTTGATCAAATTTTCTGCTCACAGGTGTGAGTGGCTTTAGCCACAGAAATCTTAAAGCATGCAGATTACAGATTGCTGCTCTGTTTTCACTTCTCACTTTAATTAAGCATAAATTGACCCAAAACCTCTACTGTTAAAATTGGTTTTTAAATATTATAGTATATTTTCCTCTATGCCATAACTATTCAAAAAACTTTGTTTCAAAGCCTAATCCCCACTTAACTATGATTTTTTCCTATGTTAAACATTTATTCTAATAGGAATATTTATTTGGAACATCAATAATATAATTTTAATAAGGATGTTTGAAATGCTCTTTTCTAATGCTAACATATTTTTTTTGTGAAATAGAACTGTGCAACTCAAGCTCATTGTATGTTAAAATCCCATTTACCTGAAGCAGTGTATGAATTCAATTTTATGATTGTGGAAATATATCTTGTAAGTCCACTCAGTGTTTCTCAACCTTGACAATTTTAAGGCATGTGGACTTCAACTCCCAGAATTACATAAGCATTGCTGGCTGTGGAATTCTGGGAGTTGAAGTCCACATGCCTTAAAATTGTCAAGGTTGAGAAACACTGCAAGGAATAAGCTACCTCTTGGATGATATTTTTAACATTCTTTGGATTTGATTGTTGTATCAAACTCCAAAGTGCACTAAAATCAAATTCTTTTCTACATACATTTTTGTAATATTTTTTACCTCAGATATTGAACATTGCTAAATTCTCATCTGTTTTTGTAATATCTGTAATAAAATTAATGTGATATAGACATACATTTGCATTATTGGTATGGGTATCTTATATTATAAATCTCATCTGCCATTAAACTGTAGCAGCCTTTCAAACTTGTTTAAAAACAGCCACTCCTAATGAATGAAAACAACCTGAAGGGGGTCCTGTGCAAGGGCTAAAGTAGTGTTTCTGAAACTTGGCAACTTTTAAGATGTGTGGACTTCAACTCCCAGAATTCCCCAGCAAACATGGGCAACAAACACCTTAAAGTTGCCAAGTTTGAGAAACACTGGCCTAGAAATTCTCTGCCCTTGTTTCTCTTCTCATCCTTAACAATCTTATTTGATAAACTATTCTGGTGTTTAAATTATTATTAGATTAGCTTCAGCTGCACTCCAGTGTTGCTTACCACAGGAGTGATTTCTTAGTGGATGCCTGTAGGATTCTGCTATTATGCACTTCCTTTATGCAATATTTTTTTTTTGAGTCAGTGGGATTGTAGGATCATAACCATGTGATACAAAGCTGCAGGGAGACCCCGAGAAAGAAATACTTAGAAACAGTGTGGAGAGAGCTTGGGCTGTCGATAAAGCAATCATATTTTCTTGGGGAAAAAAATAAAAGACAAACCTGAAAAAAGGAGCAAATCTGAAAGAGATTCATGAGGATTAAAATGTTTGTAACTGCTTTACAAAAAAATCAATACCAAAATCAAGAAAACATTAACAAAAATGCATATATTAATAAAAAAATACTAAAACAGCATATATACATTTATTTTAAAAAAGAATTAAATTTCCATATTTTCCACAAGAACATGATTGTGCATTAAGTGGTACCTTACTTTTTTGCCAAGTGGCAAAAAAAACCCACCCCCAAATAAAGGACAGAAGTCAGTTTTTGAAAAATAAATCTCAAGGGTAGCTTTCTGAAATAAAAGCTGTATAATCTTTGTAGCTGACAGGAGAGACCATACATCTGGTTGCGACAGACGTGTATCTAACCCAGTGTTTCTCAACCTTGGCAACTTTACGATGTGTGGCCTTCAACTCCCAGAATTCTCCAGCTAGCAAGCTAGCTGGAGAATTCTGGGAGTTGAAGGCCACACATCGTAAAGTTGCCAAGGTTGAGAAATACTGACCTAACCAGATTTTTGCAAAACGCTTGCCAGATGTTTTTCTAAACCAAGTCTTTTTGAGTTTTTAAAATACTGGTTTGGCATTCTTGAAAGCAAGAAGGAAAAGACCAGTTGTGGCTTGTTTCTGCCAGTCGTGCTTTCTTTAGGTTCAAGATCGAGGGTGGCCGTTAAAGCGGCACCCGACTGCGCCCGGGGACCCGACTCTTCCCGCGCCCGCTCCAGCGCTGGGCAATGCAGCGTCCGTGCTGGGCACGGCGCCATCTCGGTCCTCCGGCCGCGAGAGGCGCAGCGAGCCAGGCTGGGGGAAGCGGGAGGAGGAGGAGGCGGAGGAGGCGGAGATGGGTGATGAAGAGGGCTGGAGAAGAGCCGTGAAAGCAGCCAAGGCTGGATCCGCGCTGAACTGTTCAGGCAGCTGCTCCTCCTCGCTGGCCATGGGTAAGGTGCAAGAGGGGCGACCGGTCCGGGCCGGGCGGGGAGACAGGAGGCGAGGGAGCCTCCTGGCTCGGCGGGCGTTCCCGAGGCGCCGGAGGAGATGCTGCTCTTTTCCTCTGGCTGAGGGGCCAAAATGGCTGGAGAGGGGCTGCAACCGAGGCCGCCTTTTCAGCGACTCCTGGATACCAAGAGCAAGTCGGCCGCAGGCATTTGCTTGTGCACTGTCAACGCCTCGAAGCCGTGCGTGTCGCTGTGTGTGTGTGTGTGTGTGTGTGTGTGTGTGTGTCTGTGTCTGTGGTTGCGTATGCAGGAGGGTCGAAGTCCGCAGTCCTCGGAGACCGGCGGCAACGCCTGTCCACCCGTCGCCCCTGCCCTTCATCTCTCCCAGGGCGCGCGCGGCGCAGGATTTGGCGCTGCCGGGACGGGGATCTTCCCTCCTGCCTTGTTTTCCTTGCGGGGTTCTCCCCGGGGGAGCAGGGACTTTCAGAGGCCAGCGAAAAAGACGGGGCGGGGGGATCGCGGCCCCTTTTGGCTTTCAAGAGCCGGAGGCGTTGCCGGGAGCTCGGAAGAAGGGCGGCTCCCTGCAGCCCATAAGTCGCGGTTGCTGGGCGGTGTGGTTCCCGCCTGGGGCTTTGGAAACAGCTGTGCGCCTAGTCGCTCCTGGAAGAGAATGAGAAGCCCTCGGCTGAAAACTCCCCGTGAAAAGCGAGGCGGCTCTGAGCCCGGTTAGGATTCTGATTTTAAGAGGGGAGATCTGTTTTTCTATCCCCCAGGGCCGTTCTTAGAGTGATTCTGGAGTAATTTTAAAATCAGGCATGCCTGCCAAGGGAAAATGATCTGATCTGATACAGTGAGGGCCAGAAGGGCACAGAATTGAGATAAGGCTGGGCCAATTTATGGAGAGTTGCTTATTGCTGGCTTAATGGGTGGTTGTGGTTGCCCCCTAAACCTGAAACAGCATATTTAATTGTCAGTTGCTAGGGAATCATCCTTCCCTTGGAAGCTTCCAAAATCACACTGGATTGCTGGGTGCCAAGGAAAGCTGCCTGGATGGGAAAGAATATTCCCACCAGCTGAGTCTCCTGTTCTGGCCAGGGTTACTTCAGCAACAACAATTATGATAAACGTATCTATGATAGTAGCAAATGGTAAACAATCATATGGAATAAGAATAAAAAGTCTGGAAAGTGGACATTTCAGTATCCAGAGACAGCAGAATAGAAAAGAATGAAATGGAGAAAAATCACAAAATACAAAGATCTGCAGACAGAAGCAGAATGACTGTGGCAAAAGAAACCCAAAAACATCTGGAGCACTACTAAAACACCATCGTCATTGACAAATTCATCATCAGTCAATTGCAAAAGGCAGATTTACTTGGAACAGCTTACGTTCTGCAATATCTTCAGTGCCATCAAACAATATCTGCCTATCCCAGTCCTTGGGAAGCACTCAGTAGGTGGATAAACATGCTCTTCTTTCCTTCATTACAAACATAATTGTTAGGTAAACTGTGAGCCACAAGGTAAATACATTATTATAACCAGTTGGTTTTAGTTAAACACAAGTGTAAATCTCTTCTTTTAAGAGATGTCAACATTTAAAATTCATAAACCAATAAAAAGAAAAAATAACTATGCTTCCCCATACTGTGAAACGGGTTTATTCTAAGAAATAAGCATCACATGATGTGTCATTGTTAAAGTGCACTAAATTGCACTAAATTGGAATAGGATTTTAGCTAATATTGCAGTATCGGTGACATGACCTCTTATTACTGGCTTTGCTGGAAATACCCATATTTCTTAGCACAATGCTCTCTGTTGCTTTGATGTTTTCCCCCTTTCACTTTCTTAGATTAGGACACAGTTGTGCTTTAATCAATAAAATACATTCCTTAATCAATTCTCTCTCTCTTCCTTTCCCTCCCTCCCTCAGCTGTGAAAGACCCCCTGGCAATTGAAAGAGCAAATCTATTGAACATGGCTAAACTGAGTATAAAGGGACTCATTGAATCTGCTCTAAGCTTTGGGCGAACTCTTGATTCTGATTATCCACCTCTCCAGCAGTTTTTTGTTGTCATGGAACACTGCCTCAAACACGGCCTGAAAGGTACAGATAGTATTTTGGGGTGACTGAGTCTTTTCATCCCATCACCATTTTGTTCTATATTTGGCCACTTGAGAGGGTCATTTTGGACTGGTTACTTCCTTTTGTACTGAGAAATAAGTATTGTTTTAAATCACAGCGTGTATCAGTGTTTCTCAAACTCAGCAACTTTAACATGTGTGGACTTAACTGGCTGGGGAATTCTGGGAGTTGAAGTCCACACATCTTAGCATTACGGAGGTTAAGGATCACTGGTATAGACTGCTGCATGCTAGCCTACCCATGTTTACTTTCATTTTTCCTGCAATCCTAGTGCAAACTTTCCTTTCTAAATCAATTCAGAAGGAAACTGTGACTTCCTCCTTTGAGTTCATCCGTATTACTTCATAGCCGGTTTTACTTCATTGGATTCTGAATGACTTATGAATTTGGTTCATTTGTTTTGACCAGCTTATTCCCATTATTTGTGGGTTGCCTAGAAGTGTGATCTTGGCTTTTTCTTACTTTTTCTTCACTTGCTACCAAGTATAGTTGTAAGTATAGTTTCATGGCTGGCTGCAGTGGCTATAAAAAAAAGTTACTGACATGTCATTAGATTAAACTTGTTGATGTCTATAAATAGAAAAAAAATGTTTATACAATCCCTAATACAGGTAGTCCTCAATTTACAACCATTTGTTTAATGACTGAAGTTACAAAAACACTGAAAAAAATGACTTAAGACTTTTTCCACAATTAATGACCATTTCAGCATCTCATGGTGACATTGTCAAACTTCAGACACGTGGCACCTGGCATGTATTTACAACAGTTGCAGTGTCCTGGGGTCATGTGATCACCTTTTGTGACCTGACAAGCAAAATCAGTGGGGAAGCCAGGTTCACTTCAAAACCAAGTTACTAACTTAACAACTGTGATGATTCACTTGACTAATGTGGCATGAAAGGTCATAAAAATGGGGCAAAACTTACTTAACAACTGTTTTGCTTAGCAATGGAAATTTTGAGATCAATGAATGACCACCTATGCTTGTATGTCTTATCCAGTAAGTATCTCAGATGCTCAGGGAAGAAATATATTAAATGTTTCAAGAAAGCAAAACAAGGTATAAATAATTATTTAGGCAAAGTTAACTTTCCTAAATTAACAGAAGATCAGGAAAAAAAGATTAATGGTTTAATTACTAAGGAAGAAATTGTTACAGCTATTAAACAATTGAAATTGGGCAAAGCGCCGGGTACGGATGGGTTGACATCTATTTATTATAAAGCTTTAGTAGAAGAGATGACTCAACCGTTGTGTGAACTGTTTAATAATTTATTACAGGGGTTAGAGATCCCTCCATCCTGGCGTAATGCATTTATATCATTGATTCCAAAAGATAGTCAAGATCTCACTTTGCCTAAAAATTATAGGCCTATATCTCTTTTAAATGTGGATTACAAAATTTTTGCAAAAATTTTAGCTAACAGGCTTATGGGGATCTTGCAGCAGTTTATACATAGGGATCAATCGGGTTTTATAACTGGAAGGTATATGAAGAATAACGTTAGACAAATTATTAATTTATTAGAGTATTTAGAAAAGAATAACCAAGTCTCTGCAGGCCTGATATTTTTGGATGCTGAAAAAGCCTTTGATCAAGTGAATTGGCAGTTTATGCTGTGTTTAATCAAGGAGATGAATTTTGGACAAAATATATTACAAGTATTATCCAATATATATCAAAAACAGACTGCTCAAATTATTGTAAATGGGGGTTTGTCAGAGGCTTTTGTAATAGAAAAAGGAACAAGACAGGGATGCCCGTTGTCTCCGTTATTGTTTGTTTTAACACTGGAAATTTTGTTGATTAAAATTCGGGAGTCTCAAGAAATAAAAGGAATAGAAATTAATAAAAAAGAATATAAATTAAGAGCCTTTGCAGATGACTTGGTTGTTACTTTGTCTCAACCTGTTTCTTCGGTGGTGAAATTATTACAATTGATTCAACAATATGGACGTGTTTCTGGCTTTAAAATTAATAATAATAAGACCAAAATATTAGCTAAAAATATGACTAATGGTGATAAACAGGCTCTAGTTAACTTAACAGACTTTGAAATTGTTGATAAGGTAAAATATTTGGGGGTTACATTATCTGCTTCTAATGTAAAATTGTATAAAAATAATTATGAAAAGCTGTGGATGGAGGTACAGAAGGATTTAAAAAACTGGAATAATTTACAGTTATCCCTTATGGGCAGAATTGCAGTTATTAAAATGAATGTCCTGCCAAAGTTTATTTTTTTGTTTCAAATGTTACCTATCTTAAAGAACGAACGTAATTTAGATGAATGGCAAAAAGGTATTAATAAATTTGTTTGGGCAGGGAAAAAACCAAGGGTGAAACTTAAAATAATGCAAGATTTTCGTGAGAGAGGTGGACTCAAGGTACCAAATATGAAATTGTATTATGATGCTGTAGTATTGACATTGATTAGCGACTTGGGTGAATTTAACAAATACAGAAATACTTCATTTGGAAGGCTGGGACCTATTTTTTGGATGGCATGCCTATTTAATATTTAATAAAAAAGTGGATTGGGTTTTTAAGTCTCATATTATAAGAAACTCTTTGCTAAGAGTGTGGAGAAAGTATTATAAAAGTGACTTCAAAATACCATTATGGGCTATACCTCGGCATGCCATAGAAGGTATAAGGAAAGGGGTAAATATGGACAAGGTCTCTTACGTACAGTTATTAAGATGGGATGGCCAAGACTGGCAGTTAAAATCTTTGGAAGAATTAACACATGAAAACTTAACTTATTCATGGTTCCAATATAGACAAATAGTGGATAGATGGAAGATGGATTGTAAAATGGGCTGGCTTAGAGAAGATGAAATTTTTTTAAAACAAGTAAGAGATCAAAGGCCAACCCATATTAAGAGAGTTTATGGGGTTTTAGTGGAATTAGATTCAGAACTTGAACTAGTTAAAGATTGTATGATTAAATGGGCACAGAATATTGGTGAAACGATTTCAATGGATACTTGGGAACTTATTTGGATAAGAAATGTTAAATTCACACAAGCGCAAAATTTAAGAGAGAATTTTTATAAGATGTTTTATAGATGGCACCTTGACCAAAAGAAAATGTCCATTATGTACCCTAATCTACAGCCGAAATGCTGGAGATGTGGATATTTGGATGCTACCTATTACCATATTTGGTGGACGTGTAAGCATATAAAAGCTTTTTGGATTAAGATATGGTGGAATATTCAAAGAATTTTTAAAAGGAGGGTAAAATTTACTCCGCAATTATTTTTATTAGGTATTGTTATTGACTGTGATGCTAAGGAGGTTATATTGATGTTAAATTTGATTACAGCCGCTAGGTTGTTAATAGGACAATATTGGAAGAAGGAATCTTTGCCTACTTTACAAGAATGGTTTCATAAAGTTTCGTATTTGGCAGAAATGGCAAAGATTTCGGCTTTCTTAAAGGAGCAATCTCAAGAAAAATTTTTTGCGGTATGGGAAAAATGGATAAATTTTATACAACATAATTTGGATATGGAAAAATATTATTTAGCCTTTTTATAATTTGTAATGATTGTTTTTTCTTTCTTTCTTTCTTCTTTTTCTTTTTTATATATATACATTTTTTATGTATTATTATTCATATATTTTTTTTTTTTATATATATATATGCTTTATTCTTCGTCTACTTTCTTCTTTCTTCTTTCTCTCTCTCTCTTCTCTTTTTATTTTTTTTTTTTCTTTTTTAGTATATATTATTCATTTTAAAGTTTATGTTATGTATATTATTATTATATATATTATTACTGTGATTTTTATTATTATTATTAATTATTTTATAAATTGCAAATGTTATTTTTAAAATATTTGTTAAATAATCCTATATTCAGTTCTGGGAAGTCGGGGGGGGGTGGGGTGGTTGGGGAGGGGGGGGTGGATTTTTATTTGTAAAACTTTTGAAAAATTTCAATAAAAAAAAAAAAAAAAAGAAAGCAAAACAAGGTATAAAAAGTCAAGATATGTTTATTTTTTTTCTTCTAGTAAAAAAATCTTTTCTAAGTTATAATAAAACCATATGGGGCCCTCTGGAACTTGTAGAGAAATTGTATCCAGAAGCTGAGGAGATTGCTGCTAGCGTTAGAGATTTACCTGGTCTCAAGTAAGTTGTTTTATTGAAATATTTCCTTCACTGCTTTTTATACATAAATCATGAGAATGAACAAGATTTCATTTTCCACAGTTAAATGTATGTAACTTTTCTTAACCTCATAGAACAGGGGTGTCAAACTGCCGGCCCGTGGGCCGGATGCGGTCATGGCGAAACCGCGTCCACCCCATTGCCGGCAATGGAAAAACAGTTGTGACACGTCACATGACGTGAGTTTGATACCCCTGTCATAGAATATTCTATGGGTGAAATAATGTTATTCAAAATTGTAAGTAAGGAAGATGTGGGGTTTTGTCTGATGCAAAGAAGGTAAGATAGAAATTCTATCAGATTCAGATTGTTTGCCCATTTATTTTCTAACCTGGCAGCAGTTTTGCTCAGATTTTTGAGGCGTTTTCCAATCAATACCATAGTGCCAATAAGATGCTGGGATCTTATTCATCCAGAGGTCTGTTCTCCCATTGAGCAGTATTCCTTTGCAACTGCCAACACTCAAAAGGAGACCTGACAATGGGCATAGTTGTATTAAAGTACAATCCATCAATCTCTGACCCAGCAGAAAAGTGGTTCTTTTTTTTAAAAAAAATATGTTTTATTACTTTTTTTAACATAATCACTTTACTATTCGGTAAACAGTGTGTTGTCTGGTTTTACATTTAAGAAACATTCACTAACAGTTGATTTCTATAATCTATAATACACATAATAACTCTACTTGATTTCCTTTTTTTCCCATAATGTTCTCTTTTACCAACCTTAAGTTAATACAATTCTTGTTGTTTTAATGAATGATGATTGAGTATAAAAGTTTTCTAATATTTCTACAGATAATAATCACATCAATATAATATTCCCTTTTCTGTTCTGGCCATTCTGGTTGTCTCATCATAGATCCTGTTTACAGTTCTTGTTTACATTTGTTTTTCCAACAATGTTCAAAACATTCTTACTGGTTAAGATTTTCTCAAAGTGAATTAGATTTAAATATTTAACTTTATTTTCTCTCATGTAAGCCAAACCAATACTTTTACCTTTCTTAAGGAATAAATAAGACTAAAAAAAGAAAAAAGAAGAATAAGAATAAAAAGTAGTTCTTAATCACAAATTAAGTAGGGGAAGATTTTAATAAAATAACTAGAATATGAAATATTGGTTCTGATGTGATTCAAAAATGCTACTCATAAAACCAGGAGATGTTAATTGAAATAAAGAATTATTATAGGTTCCCATGTCATACAAGGGACTCTTTAGTGCCTTACAAGACTAAACTTAATCTTTTCAAATATTTCAGTAGAATAGAGTCCTATGGAATATGGTCTTCTTTGACTGTCCCCCTCCAAGTCTCAGTGACCCACCCCTAGATGGAATGACCCGGCCTTTGATCTTAAACCTACTGCCCACTGCAGAAATCACAGGGTTGATTTCCTTCCTCAGAAAAAAAACCCAAAATGGAATGATATTTGCCCAAGACAAATACAGGGGAGGACATTATCTTTTATTTTGTGTCTTAAGAGTTTTGTCAAATAAATGTTTAAATCAGAAGGTGTTTTTTTTAATAAAAACAACTTTTTGTTGAGAGTGTAAAGTGGCTAAAATTGAATATAGAATGGTTAAGAACATTGTTCCAAATAAAGATGGAAAATAGCTTAATCCCTACCTCTTTATTAGAAAGCATATTGACTAGTGTTAGAAATGGCAGCTCTGACTAATGTGTCGCTATGCTGTGAATTATTCCTGTTTTTAAATCAGAACTTCCTTAGGACGTGCTCGGGCTTGGTTACGTCTGGCACTTATGCAAAAAAAGATGGCTGACTATCTACGTTGTCTCATCCTTCGGAAAGATCTCCTCGGGTGAGCTCTTATCCAGGTTCTTATTAAAAGTCAGTGCTTTGATTGTGAACAGAATTGTGCACATTGATTGTGTTGCATTGTTATTAGAACTTAGCTAAAATATTTATTTTCTTAGCTAAATAAAAGAGCTTACATTACATTGCTTCTAGCAGAGGCATTTCACTTTTCTTCCGAATTATAAATTTCAGTAAAATGTTCTAATTGATTGACTTGACATCTTTATTTTTAGAAGGTTTGGTAAAACAAAAAAAGAAAGGGGACATTCTAACGTTCATTCAGGTTTTGACAGTAATATAGTATAAACCAGAAGTCAACAATACAATGCCTGTGACATTCTCAAGCAGCACTTGCCACAGCAATGGCAATAATATATTCTTTCTCTTTTGCTGTTTAATGTATTCTGCAAATTTACATCATGCTGCCAGCTGTTGGAAAAGATGCATACCCAGAGCATAAAGTGTACAAAATGCAGCTGCACAATATTTAATTTCATACTTGCAGAACTAGGCTTTTTTTTTTTAAAGCAGTTTTCTCTTGGTTTTTTTTTAATTCTAGACAAGGAATGTTATTCCTGTTATTCTCCTTGCGCAAAGCCTCTGTTGCTCAGGGCAGTCTTTTCCATCCTCGTGCAAATATTAAATGCAGTGTGAGATATTGTTTGAGGATGTTCTTTCTCAGCGTATTATGACCTTAAGTGCTGCTGATGCTAGTTGATCAAGCACTTGCAATTGGTTGCAGCGTGGGACACCCAACCATTAGCAGGTTTACTTTTTCTACTTCTGTTGACATTGGATACAGCTTGAGTGACCTGCCTCTGCTTGATCTTTGGTAACATGTTTAGAATCACGAGGTACATATTTGTGTATCATTCGTGTACCATTGGAATTATGGAAAAATGATGCAGATGAAATCTCTGTGGACCATGCAATTTTTTTTTTTAGAAATTGTGAAGGATTCTATCATACCATCAAAGTCAAAGAAATATTTTACTACAACCGAAGCTTTTGTAGAGGGGAAGAAGCATAGGAGCATAGGGATATATACTATGTTTTGGCCTTTGACAATCAGTAGTGCTGATTCTAATCTATGGACCTAGACAAGTTTTAAACTCACAATTTTGCTACTTTGCATCCTTTTAAATAAAATTCCATAACAGTGGTGTCTGTTTTCATGAGGAAAGCAACTTTTTGAATTGTCACATAGAGTCATTTTGACATTGGTCAGCTATGAAATTGACCAGTAATTGACAATGCCATTTAAATTATATGAAAATGCTTTTACAGTGAATTTTATGAACACCATGCAGTGATGATGGAAGAAGAAGGAGCTGTCATTGTTGGATTGCTTGTTGGGTTAAATGTCATTGATGCAAACTTGTGTATTAAAGGAGAAGATTTGGATTCACAAGTAAGTAGACACCGCAATCGTACAGTATATGTAGTCTTAAGAGCAAGGTTTCTTGACTGGAAAATCTTTCAAATATGGCATAGCTATTTTTTTTCTCTTGTAAAAAAATGTTCTATGTCCTTCAGGATGTGTATGAAACCTGTGTTTTGGCTTATATTTTAGACCTTAATATTGTAAACTCAATGAGATGGCTTAAACATTTGAATAATGAAAAAAATACCAGTATTGGAATGTATTATAGTGTAGGCTTGGCTATATAATATTCATAATTAAAGTAGCACACCTTTATTCATTTATGGATACAGCACATTACTCTCAATCAATTATATTTGCTCCATTGTCGACCCAAATTGAGTCTGGAAGATTTTAACTCCTGGAAGCAAATTTGGGGGAGACCGGTTGTTGCAAAATGGCATTGGTCAATACAATCCAGACCATTAATGTGATCATTACCAGATGTGGAATTTCCCATTCTGTTGAATTTGATTAAATTTGAAGGAGAATGAAGCTTATTCCCTAGTGGTTCCTTTATTTCACTTTGCAAAATTTGAATATATTTTTTTAAAGGTTGGTGTAATTGATTTCTCCATGTATCTAAAGAGTGAAGATGACACTGAAGATAAAGAAAGGTGAGTTTTACTAGAATTTTTAGCATGTTAAAATATATGGCTGAAAAACACATCCCCTGGAAGGAAACCCAAAGCGTCCTTCCCCTCACAGAAAATATTCCTTCTGTTCAGAAGGGAATCTTTACGCATGCTCCATTTTATGCCCTGTTGTACCTCATGTGCATTAGTTCTGACTTACAAAGCCCTCAGAAGCTTCACATAAGTTGCATACTTACGTAACTACCTGCTCTAACCAGATTTGATCCATGAATTGCTCGTGTTGCCCTGATTTCATGAAGGGGCAGGGATGAGGTCAGAAATGGCTGGACTCTATTGTGCAAGAACCAGCCCCGGAGATGTTAATCTGGCTACTCAGGGCTGACTTTCTTGAAGCTGGGTGGGGTTTGTTTTTTTAATTCCTTCGGCCTGTTATGTGTATCTGAAGACTTCCCTGGAAATGTCTTTGTTTAATATTTACAGATAGTAGTTGTCTAGAGAGTGTGGTGTGTAAATTTCAGCCTTGCTGAAGATTAATGATTTTACTGATAGGTTAAATTGAAATGATTTTGAGGGTCTGCTTAAAGCTGCAGCTTCTGCATCTAGGGACTGCCCGTTGGAGTTAACTACGTTATTCCAGTTGTACAGAATGAGATGCATCTTAGGGAACCAGTATCACATTCCACCTTTTTATTTTGTATTGGTTTTGTGTCATACATTTCCTGTAATGGAAGTGTTAATTTTACTGTACTTTTTGGTACCTTTTTGGAATCTAATGTATTGTAAGGTATTTTACATGTGTTCTGATTCACCATGACATGGATATTGATGCTATTCTAGCTTTTGAATAAAAAAGCATAATACAGAAAAAAAAAGAGTGCAGTTACTTGACATGTTTGGGGGTGGTTTGCCATTCATTGCCTCCTTCCTAGGGCTGAAAGAGAGGGACTGGTCCAAAGTTATCCAGCTGGGTTTGTGCCTAAGGCAGGATTAGAACTCAGTTTTCCACATTTCTTGGCCAGCACCATAACCATGAGCTCAAACTGACTCTCTTGTCAAGTTAGCGAAGGCCAAAATATAAAATACTAAGAAAAATGAAAATAAAGGGGAAAAAAGGGAAAAAGAAAGAAAAGCGTTGACTTCCTACTTTTTTTTTTAGTGCGGTAGAATAAGGTAATAACTTACCTTATATAACTTACTTTTTGTTTTTATATAACTATACTAGTCATTTCTATAACAACAAACCTATCTAATCAGCAAAACCCAAAGATAAAGTTTCATTTTTCCACATCAAGCACAAAGTCCAGAAGCAATTTATTTTTTTGATTAATATGCTCCCATCTTCCCTAGAAAGTGACTCTTATCTGCCCTTACTTATTTTACTTATTGTACATATAAGTGTGTGTTTTCTCTCTCTCTCTCTCTCTGTTTAATTTTACCACTTTCTCTTCCATTATGTAAATATGAGTCTGGAAAATAATAATAATGCTAATTATAGCCTACTGCAGGAGTCTTCAAAATTGGTAACTTTAAGACTTTGGACTTCAACTCTCAGAATTCCTCAGCCAGCCCTGGCTGGCTGAGGAATTCTGGAAGTTGAAGTCCACAAGTCTTAAAGTTGCTAAGTTTGAAGACCACTGGTCTATTGTGAAAAAAGTTGTACATTCTGGGGTCATAGATTTCAAGGGCAAAAAGCAGAAATCATGGAGCAATTAAAAAAAAATCAATGTTTAATCAAAGAGGATTGTTTAATCCAGAAATGCAGAACAGATATATGAACAGTCATCCTATTAATATCTAATATAAATTTGGGGAAATAGATAATCAAAGTCATATGTAAATCTTTAGAGGAGAGATGGGCAACTATGGCCCCTTTATGATCTGTGGACTTAAACCCTGAGAATTTCTGAGCCAGCCATGGCCCCTTTATGACCTGTAGATGTCACACTCAGAATTTTTAAGTCAGCCATGCTGGCGCTCAGGAATTCTGGGAATTGAAGTCCACAGGTTATAAAGAGGCCATAATTGCCCACCCCTGCCTTAGAGCAGTGTTCAATTTCCAATTTTTTGAGAAAACCAAAAGAAACTTTTTTTAACAGACTCCAAGATTGTTGATGGTGGTTATCCAGCTGATACTAGTGCTAATTACACAGAATGTTCTATATTTCAAGCCATATCCAGATATTATTTTTTAATTTATGGAGAACAGTTATTAAGACGTATCTCCGGTATACAGTAAATAGAAATTTTTCACATGCAATTCTCAAGACTCAGATCTCAGATCAAATGTCTTAACTAAACATTAAATATTCTAAACTAAAACTAAATTTCTTTTAGAAATGACCATATCGCTGCAATATTGGATCAGAAGAATTACGTTGAAGAATTAAACCGGCAATTGAAGTAAGGATAAGTTGTGTTAGAGACAGGTGTCTTCTGTTTTAAAAACAATTACTTTGGTAATTATCAGGTATTGAAAGTAGTAGTATTTATTGAATAATGAATAGAAAAAAGATAAGTTGGGAAGGGTTGTGAAATGCAAGGTTGTCCATGGCGAGGGGGGTAAAAAATCAAGATGGTAACAAGATCAAAACCTGACCCTTTTTCAAGTTCATTGCACACATGATCACATTTTTTTTCGGTTTGTGTGGTCTCCTGGCAACTATCTGGACTATTTCCTGTGGTTTTCTTGACAACTTTTTTCAGAAGTGATTTGTCTTCCTTCCTTCCTTCCTTCCTTCCTTCCTTCCTTCCTTCCTCCCTCCCTCCCTCCCTCTCCTTCCTTCCTTCCTTCCTTCCTTCCTTCCTTCCTTCCTTCCTTCCTTCCTTCCTTCCTTCCTTCCTCCCTCCTTCCTTCCTCCTCCCTCCCTTCCCTTCCTTCCTTCCTTCCTTCCTTCCTTTCCTTCCTCTCCTTCCTTCCTTCCTTCCTTCCTTCCTCCTCCTCCTCCCTCCCTCCCTCCCTCCCTCCCTCCCTCCCTCCCTTCCTTCCTTCCTTTCTTCCTTCCTTCCTCCCTTCCGCTAAGAAAGATGGGCTGGCCCAAAGTCTCCATGCTGGTTTCATGCTTAAAGGAGGACTAGAACGTAAGGTCTCCTGGTTTCCAGTTAGGTATCTTGCAGTCGCAACCGCCCTCTTGACTTGTAATCCCCCCCCCGATAGATCTTGGTCAGAAATATCTTAGCATAGTTTATGTCAAAAGTATGATTATGTTTTTAATCTGGGACCCTAAAAGAAATTTATTAGCTATTGTATCAAGGAGTTAATACTGCCACGATAGCTCCCTTTTAATATGCTTCTCTTATCAGGTAGACTAACAACACAGTCCTAATTGCTATTGATTTAGGAGTAACACTAATACAGAAGAGATGACATTTGGTTTCTGCATGTGTTTTTCGTAGGGCATCTGTTAATAAGTAAACTATTTACTTTAAAATACTTTACTAAAGTATTTAAAGTATTAAAGGTATACTTAAAGATTGGTGTATCTTTCCAGTTGATATGACATGGCTGTTTAAAATGGTTGTTCATGCATGTTGAGCTTTGTGATGTCAAATAGAAGCAGGGCTCCAATTCAGATCTCACTCCAGACTTACTTACTGAAGTAAGACTGGCATAGATAAAGCGTAAGGGATATGTCAGTGTGTACAGCTTTGTCCTCAGGTAATATGAACTTTCTCACATTCTTTAAGAGAACCCACCAAGAAGGCTAATAGTAATAATTAGTCTTCTCAAGATCATAAGAGGAGAACAAGTTAAATGTAACAATTGTAGAGAGAGTCCTTGACTTATGACCACAATTGGGAGAGAATTTCAGTTGTAAGTCATTGAAGTTGCAAGTTGAGGCACCCATGAGCCTGGACCCAGCTTCTCAACTGGTTTTATGGTGCTCATTAAGTAAATCACATGGTTGTTAAGCAAATCCAGTTTTCTGAATAGGTGGTTTCTTGCCAGGGACTTGGCAAAAAATATCACAAATTGCAGTTGTGACTTTGAAATGCTGCAACTGGTTGTAAATGTAAGATGATTGCCAAATGCACAAAATGCAGTTCATGTGACTATGGACAGGGGGAATGTTTTACAATGGTAGGAAATGCTTTACTGGCCATAACGCAGCCTTTCCAAGGCCATCATTACTTTGAACGATCATTAAACAATCATAAGTCGAGGATTACCTGTATAATATCCTTTTGCAACCTAGAACTAAGGAGAAATTTCCTGACAGTTAGAACAATTAACGGGTGGAACAACCTGCCTCCAGAAGTTGTGAATGCTCCAACACTGGAAGTTTTTAAGAAGAGACTGGACAGCCATTTGTCTGAAATGATAGGGCAGGGGTCTTCAAACTTGGCCCTTTTATGACTTGTGGACTTTAACTCCCAGAATTCCTCAGCCAGGCACGCTGGCCAAGGAATTCTGAAGTCCACAAGTCATAAAAGGGCCAAGTTTGAAGACCCCTGTGATAGGGTTTCCTGCCTGAGCAGGGGGTTGGAGTAGGAGACCTCCAATGTCCATACTACTACTACTACTACTACTACTACTACTACTACTACTACTACTACTACTACTACTTCTTCTTCTTCTTCTTCTTCTTCTTCTTCTTCTTCTTCTTCTTCTTCTTCTTCTTCTTCTTCTTCTTCTTCTTCTTCTCCTCCTCCTCCTCCTCCTCCTCCTCCTCCTCCTCCTCCTTTTCCTTTTCATCATCATCACCATCGGGATGTATCAGGTCCGTAGGCTAGAAACGGAAGTCTAGTTGTGTGGGCTATGAATAAGAAAGAATACAAACACTATATATTTTGAGGAATGGTGTCAGGAAGTGTCTTCTGATGCATTTGTTGCTGGGCATCAAGCAGTCGCTAGGAGGTTTTGTAAATCAGCTTGTACTACTGCATAATAGTAGAAATAATTCTGAATAATATTTTTTTATTGTTTTCAGTAGTACAGTCAGCAGCCTCCATACACGCGTCGATTCACTAGAGAAGTCAAACACTAAATTAATCGAAGAGGTAGGGTCTTTCGGCAATATATGCTTCAATGTTGAAACTGGCAGTCTTTGTTTGCGTTTGGGGTTTGGTTTTTATTTTGGTTTGGGATTTTTTTTTTTTTGTTTCAGCCAAGATGTTTCCCTTGGCCAAGAGGTGCCTTGTGTGTTACATAGAACTTCTGAGCAGCATGAGGATGGCAGCCTCAGCTCAGCTGCAGCTAACCATGAAATCCTGGTCCATCTGTACAAACCAACTTTTTTTGCCATATAAAGCAGGAACATCTGCAAGGTTGGCCAAAATGTTAAGATGGTCATGACCTTGCAACTGAAGCCCTGTCAGAGCCATCTTGACCTTTTTGACCCCTGGAGGTTGACCTAAAATAGGTATGGTATCAGTATGGGAGGGGAGTCCAGATCCACCAACCCATAGAGGAGGGGTCTTCAAACTTGGTCCTTTTATGACTTGTGGACTTCAACTCCCAGAATTCCTCAGCCAGACACACTGGCTGAGGAATTCTGGGAGTTGAAGTCCACAAGTCATAAAAGGACCAAGTTTGAAGACCCCTGTCATAGAACATTCTCTCAGCAGTTTGAGAAAACATTCTCTCTAGCTGCTGAGTCTGTGTACAACTGCAATGGGGCATAACTGTGATTTTTGTCTGTGTGTATATAATTTTTTTTTGCATTTGTGGAAATCGCTTATCACAGGAATCCTTGTGGCAAGCTCTTTTAAACAATACCACAGTTCTGCCTGCTAGATGGCCTTTTACAAGTGCCCAGACTCACGGCGCTCTGCATATTAAGCATTCCTTAGCCATTGTTAATGTTGGATTTTAATTGAAAGTAATATCTTCAGTTGCAAATTTTGGATTTCCGCTTCCAGTCAACTACCATGAATCCTTGTTTGTTGGCAATAGGTTGAATGAATCAGCCCTAGATAAGTATGTTGGATTAGTGCAGTGATGTGATTAGAAGACTGTAATGTTTTCATGTAGCATTTTGGGTCTAGAGTTGTTTATTTCCTGTCTGAAAGCTTTTGGATTTTTTTTATTTTTACATTCTATCTTTCTCTTAGTTGGCGATAGCTAAAAACAACATAATAAAACTACAAGAAGAAAACCATCATTTAAGAAGTGAAAACACACTCATTTTAATGAAAACACAGCATCATCTGGAGGTATGATAGTTTAAAATAATTTATGATTTGTATGTCAAAGTTTGCCATTTTTAATGTAATTTTCTATAAAAATATGTAATATTTAAGCATTTTATATACTTCAAGAATCTAGCTTAAGGGGAATATTTTTGGAAGATCACTTGTAAATATACTATGCCATGAAGGGTCATTTAATTTATGCTAAACTCATTGCAAAATAATATTTACATTCCCTTGTCAAGATAGTCAGGACATTGGGGAACAACATTTTTTTTTCTCTCAGCTAACATTAATCTTGTAAGATTAGAAAATTTTGTAGGCAGGGTAGAAAAACGTCTAGAAAGACAAAGTAACCATCTGCAAAATATTCAGAGAGGGAGCTTTTTAAAACTGCAGAAATCAGCAGAATGATGATTGAGTTCAAAGACAAGAACTTAAAAATGGTGAAGCAGCTGAAACGGGATAAAAATAGATATTACGAAGTAGGACAGGGAAGTAAAACTGACATGAGGCAAAAGACAGTGAAGTGGGAATACCACCTGGTAACTTAGAGGGTCAATTAACAAATGGCCTATTCCAAGACCAGAACAGCAGGCCAGAGGAAGGACATCCTGTGGCCATTCCAGAGATGTATAACTGGAGCCAGTAAAAAAATTAAAATGGGTAATTGGGGAACAGTTGCTGGAATTGAGTATGTCTAGTTTAACAAAGAGAAGGACGAGGGGTGACACGATAGCCATGTTCCAATATCTTAGGGGCTGCCCCAAAGAAGAGGGAGTCAAGCTATTCTCCAAAACATCTGAAGGCAGGACAAGAAGCAACAGATGGAAACTAATCAAGGACAGAAGCAACCTAGAGCTAAGGAGAAACTTCCTGACAGTTAGAACAATTAACTAACCAGTGGAACAACCTGCCTCCAGAAGCTGTGAATGCTCCAACACTGGAAGTTTTTAAGAAGAGAATGGACAGCCATTTGTCCGAAATGATATAGGGTTTCCTGCCTGAGCAGGGGGTTGGACTAGATGACCTCCAAAGTCCCTAACAACTTTATTATTATTATTATCGATCATCGCACAGTCAGCCAGATGTTCAGACTGGATTTGGCATTTTGTCTACCTATCGAGTCCTTACCCAGGACCTGGGATAGGCAGATGTGGATGTTTGATGGTATTACAGATATCGTCGCAGGATGGAAGCAGTTCCTAATAAGGCTTCCTTTTGCAATTGACTAATAGCGAATTTGTCAATGCCAATGGTGTTCAAGTGGTGCTCCAGTTGTTTTGGAATTGCACCCAAGGAGCCTATGACTATTGGTACTACCCTTGCTTGCTTTTGCCACAGTCTTTCTATTTCTATTTGTAGGTCTTTGTATTTTGTTATCTTCTCCAGTTCTTTCTCTTCTATTCTGCTATCTCAAGGCACTGCCACATCCACTATCCAGACTTTTTTGTCTTTCTTATCGACAATTGTTAAGTCTGGGGTGTTATGTTGCAGGTGCTTGTCTGTTTGAATTCTGAAGTCCCAGAGCAGTTTAATTTTATCATTTTCTATGACTTTCTCTATGTTATGATCCCACCAGTTTTTGCTTCAGGCAAATGATATTTTTTGCAGATCTTCCAATGCACCATTGTTGCTACTTTGTCATGCCGCTGCTTGTAATCAATCTGTGCAATCTTCTTTCAACAGCTTACCAAGTGGTCCACTGTTTCTTCAGCTTCTTTGCATAGGCGGCACTTACTGTTTGTTGCTGTCTTCTCAATTTTGACTTTGTATGCATTTGTCCTTAAGGCTTGGTCTTGTGCAGCCAGAATTAGTCCCTCGGTCTCTTTCTTCAATTTTCCTGCTCTTCGCCATTGCCAGGTTTTATTATTATCTGCTTTCCCAGCTATTTTTTTAATGTATTGGCCATGTAGTGCTTTGTCTTCCCATGACTCTATTCTGTTCTTCATTTGGTCTTTCTTGTAGGCCAGTTTGGTCTCTCCAGTAGTTAGTAAGCCTTCCTGATATACTAATTTCAGTGCATCTTCATCATTGTTCTTCAGATATTCTTCCAAAGCCATTTTTTCTTCTTCAACCATCTGATGTACTTGTAGCAGTCCACGCCCACCTATTTGCCTTGGTAGATAAAGTCTATCAGTGTCACTGCGTGGATGAAGGGCATGATTCATTGTCATTATTTTTATGGTCTGCCTATCCATTGCTTTTAGTTCTGCTTGAGTCCAGTCCACTATTCCAGCTGTGTACCTAATGACAGGGATTGCCCAGGTGTTGATTGCCTTTATGGTATTTCCTCCATTGAGTTTGGATTTTAAGATCTTCTTCACTCTCTTGATGTATTCATCTCTAATCTTTTTCTTGACTTCAGTGTGCTTGATGTTGTCAGCTTGAAGGATACCCAAGTATTTGTAGTACTCTTCCTCATCCAGACTCTTAATGTTATTTTCGTGGGGCATCTTGATTCATTCAGTTTTCACTATTTTTCCTTGTTTGATAGTAAGTGTGGCACATTTGTCCAAGCCAAAATCCATTACAATATCTTGGCTATATATACGGACAGTGTTGAGCAGCGATTCTATTTCAGATGATGTTTTTCCATACAGCTTCAGATCATCCATATAAAGAGGTGGGATAGTCTGGCAGATGTTTTTGGTGTTTGATAGCCATGTCCTGAGTTATTCAGTATTGTTGACAGAGGAAACAGTGCAATAACAAATAGTAATGGTGATAATGAATCTCCTTGAAATATTCCTCTCTTGATATTAACCTCTCCCAGCCTCTCACCATTGATCTGCAACTGTGTCTTCCATTGTGCCATCGATCTTTGCACAAATTTTCTGATGTTTCTACTGCCTCCTGTTATTTCTAGGCACTTTATTATCCAATCATGTGGCAGAGAGTCAAATGCCTTTTTGTAGTCAATCCATGCCACATTCAGGTTGGTCTTCCTTCTCTTGCAGTTTTCCAAGATCATTTTGTCTATTAGGAGTTGATCTTTGTTCCTCTGCTATTGGGGCGGTTTCCTTTCTGCTCAGGTGGAAAGAGATTGTTTTCAACTAGATGCTGTTGTACTGCATCAGCTACCACACCAGTTAGTAATTTGAAAGTTGTTGGTAAGCAGGTAATTGGCCTGTAGTTACCTGGTGTTGCCACTTATTATTATTATTATTATTATTATTATTATTATTATTATTATTATTATTATTATTATTATTATTATTATTATTTCTATCATGTCATGACATCACTGAAGTGAACAGGGTGAAAACCTTTGCTCTATATTTGGTAAAGGGTTATAATTCTGCAAGGCTCGAGAGACACATTTCTTCCTCCTAAATTTTTGCAGACTTCTCTGCAAAAAAGAAGAGAAGAACCCCAAATTTCGCTCCCATCTATTCCACTGGTGCATGGGAGAGGTGGATGTACGATGTTCCAGACTCCTGATGGACATTACACACTGAATTATTAGGCCTGGCTAAATTTTGCATACCTCAAGTTACTGCTGGGAGTAACTTGGAAGGAGAATCTGTTGCCAACTCCCATTTTTAAAAACGTAAACGTTCAGTTGGTGTTCTTCAGAACTCTCACTGGCTTATTGAAGATGACGTTTTCATAAGAGTATTACCATAAGGAACATTTTATGAACAGTAACAAATATGGCAGATTCTGAACTATAAAAGGAGCGTTTTTCTGCATTTTCAATAATATTTATACATATTACAGTACTTAAATGCGTACTGGGCTTGATCTAAATCATTTTTGACATATGCATAGCTCTACATAATACTCTCATTGTCCCCAACTCAGCACAAACAAGAAGAAAAGTTAGGATCTTCTTGCTGCCTAAGGCAGAGGTCCCCAACCTTTTGGGCACCAGGCATTGGTTCCGTGGAGAGAGATTTTTCTGTGGACCGAAGGAGGCGTGGTTTTGTGTGCTGCCTGCATCCCGGGGATGGGACTTTGCTTATTTGTGCGGACCAGTTGCTGGCATGCTGCGGTCCGGTACTGGTCCACGGACTGGGGGTTGGGGACCCCTGGCCTAGCATGTGCATCTTTAGCAACTTTAAGACTTTGGACTTTAGCTCTGAGAATTTCCAGCCAGCTTGGCTAGCTGGGGAATTCTGGGAATTGAAGTCCACAAATCTTAAGTGGTCAAGGTTGGGTATATCTGCTCTAGGAAGAGGTCTCTTTCTGAATACCAAAGTTTTTAAGTAGAATAATTTTCCTTATTTTCTTTGTAGATGAATAAAGTAGATGCCGAAGCAGAACTTCAGACATATAAACATTCCCGACAAAGCCTGGATGAAATGTATAATGAAGCACACAGACAGCTTCGAGAAGAATCACAGTTAAGACAAGTGAGTGGGTGTCATATAAATTGTGAATGGCTACTCTTGCACATTCCTTGGCCTCAATCATAGAGTTACATACAGGTAGTCCTTAACTTACCATGGGTCTCTTGGTGATCGGTCAGAGTTACCGCTGACCTAAGACAGGGAACTTTTATGACTGAGATTTAAATTTCTGACAGTTGGGCCTCCTCCGTGGTCACCAGACTGAATTTTGGACGCTTGGCAACACAACTGCATATACAGCTGTTTGCAGTGTCCTGCAGTTATGTGACTGTATTTTATGACAAGTTTGTCCAAAACTGTCACTTACTTCCAGTTTTCAGCAAAACTGTGCTCATAGCAAACCATTGGTTCACTTAATGGCCACCGTGATTTGCTTAACAACTATTGCAAGAAAGTTTGTAAAATCATTTTGGTGACATGACTGACCCATTTTACGACTGTTATGACATACGACTGCAAAGGGCAGGCTCCATTACAGTTATATTGCAAGGACTTCCCGTACTTAGGTGGGTGCATGCAGTTGTCAATCATCAACCCTGCTGTTTTGTTAGAATCCGTTCAGTCTAAAATTAAACACAAGATTTTGGGAATACGTGGGCTTGTTTGTTTTTATCTTCTGTAGGATATAGAGAATGAATTGATGGTCCAGGTTGGTATGAAGCATGAGATAGAACTTGCCATGAAGTTATTGGAGAAAGATATACATGAAAAGCAAGATACTCTTATAAATCTGCGGCTACAGCTGGAGGAAGTCAAAGTGATCAATACAGAAATGTATCAAAAACTGCAGGTAGTTCATTATTTATATCTAGAAACCAAAATATACAAGTGTAATGCAATGGTGTTTGGGATATTTGGGAGTTTGATCCCCCCCCCATAGTTTTCACGGTCAGCTATTGGCAATTACCTAAAGCATCTTCTCTATCTGGGGTGATAGTGCATTTAAGCTATCGAAGGACTGTCTTGGGGGAGTTACGGAATGGACTTGGTTTATATTGTATGCTAGGTCATGCTTGCTTAGCATCAGCCATCAATAAATCCTATATTAATAATATGGAAGCCCTTCTTGCAGAAATGTCTCTGCAGCCAATGTCCTAGACCAGGGATAGGCAACCTTGGCTCTTTTATGACTCGTGGACTTCAACTCCCAGAATTCCTGAGCCAGCATAGCTGGCTCAGGTATTCTGGGGGTTGAAGTCCACGAGTCATAAAAGAGCCAAGGTTGCCCACCCCTGTCCTAGACAGTAGTGGCTGGCCAGCTAACAATAGAGTCCTTTGCTAATTGAACAAAACGCAAGGGCTCTGTGGCTGATCATCTTCTGCATGTAGGGCTAGGGACGCAAATCATTTCTGAAATGCTTTAGCTTTCTTAAAATATTTCCTGTGTAGTTGGAGCAGGAAAAGGAAAAACAAATCCAGGAGCATCAAAAAATGAAGTTGCAGAAGCTAGCCAGACTGCATTTCCCTCTGTTACTTCCGGTTCAGACACTCTGTCAGACCAAAGTAAACTAACCCGAACTAAGCCACGACTACAGACCCGGTTTTAAGATATACTCGGTCAGCCCCAGTTTGAATGGTGGACTGGGTTCAAAGAACAAAGTCAGTCCCTTCAAAGTTGAAGAGAAGCCTTATTCCTAACCCTACCACCATTCCATATTGATGGGACCTCAAAGGGAAGGTAGGCCTTTAAAGCAGACATGATGACTGATAGCAAAATGGCCACCCTAGTACATGCATGTGCAGACAGCTGGAGATAGTTTTCCAGCAGCTGGGGAGCCTTGCAAAGCCTTGTGACTGCTCTAATGCTTTGAATAGAGGTGCTTGATAATTAGCATATTGTAATAGAATAATCTCTTAATAATAGTTTTCAGAGGAAGCCATGAAAGAAAAGAATGAAATAATTGGTCGCCTGGAGGATAAAACTAGTGAAATTACTGCAACTATGAAGCATCTGGAACAAAGGTACAACATCACAGTCTTTACTCGTTTTCTCTTGCCCATGTTCAGGGGTAGGCAACCTCAGCTCTTTTATGATACATGGACTTCAACTCCCAGAATTCCTGAATCAGCATAGCTGACTCAGGAATTCTGGGAGTTGAAGTCCATGAGTCATAAAAGAGCCAAGGTTGCCTACCCCTGCCCACGTTAGTACAAGAGAAGCCCTGGGCTTATATCTTCCTGTCAGGTGCAAACTTTGGCAAATGTTAATTATATTTTTATATAATCAACACTGTTTTTCATGGTGCTCAGTTTAACACCCAGATTCCTAATCCACGGTTTGAGATCAGTGTGTTTAAAAACCACGATCTCTATTTCATACGCAGGGACAAGCCGAGCTTCTGCAAAAAAAAATAAATAAACATTTCAAAAGTCTGTCTGCTAACTTATGATGGTGATGGGAGGAAAGTAGGAACTGGGTTTGTTCCAACTTTGCACTACAACATGCTAGTTTGGCAGGTTATAGACCCAGTTACCCGCATATTGTGCCCCCCCCCAAAAGACATAATTTTTCACATTTAACTTCCTCTTAACTTTAAATACCTGTTCATGCAGGAACAGCCATCATTCAAACTGATTTGCTTTCACGCACTTCTGTGAACACGGAAGATGCCTCCCTGAGTTGGGAGAATCCAATCTTCCTTTCTGCTCTAAATCACATTATAGCCCATTTAGGAGATTGCAGTTAGCTATTCCAAAACTTTCCTCCTCTTTGAATTTTTCATATTGTTAATAATTCTTCCAAGCTCCCTTTAACCTAAATATATGCTATGCTGGGGGCAGGGGATAAGACTTGGATCTTCTTTTAAATGCAGCTGTAGACTGATGCATTGAAGGATGAGTTGAAAGGTAGAAAAGCCACAGGGAATGTTTTCAGTCCAATCCAGGGGCTCTGCCCCCTCCCCCCATTTTTTGCCAGATGTGACCTGCTCAGTTCCCTCCAATACCAGCAGCTATAAGGCCATCAGAAAAAGCTAGGAGGCTCAGCTGGCAGATGACCTGCTACATTTTGAGATTGGCTGATTGCTATAGAGTTCAAATTTTCAAAGAGTTGTTTTGTTAACTGGCTTCCTCATATTATCTATGCAGCAGGTTGCATGCAAAATGGAGTAGTTTCAGAAGCAAGTTATATTTTTGTTGATACTAATTCCATGAAAAGAGATTACTGTAAATGCCGGCATATAAGACGACTTCCGCGAGCGCTGAAATCGGCGCCAAAGACGGGGGTCGTCTTATACGCCGAGTCGTCTTATACGCCAGAAATACTGGTAGTTTCTGGCGTATAAGACGACGTTCTAGGAATGCGGCCCGGCTATAAAGACGGGGGTCGTCTTATATGCCGGGTCGCCTAATACGCCGGCATATACGGTAAATATAAGACAAGATGTACATAAGGGCTTAAGTGCTTGTAAAATAACCCTAGAGTTGAGGCTCTAGATCAGGGGTCTTCAAACTTGGCCCTTTTATGACTTGTGGACTTCAACTCCCAGAATTCCTCAGCCAGCGTGCCTGGCTGAGGAATTCTGGGAGTTGAAGTCCACAAGTCATAAAAGGGCCAAGTTTGAAGACCCCTGATCTACATATTAAAGAGAGAATTGGTACCATGGCAGTATTCTGAGGGAGCGTTACCCTTTGTTTCTGACTTGGTTTCACTTGTTAGCAGAAATTTCTAGTAGAGAACTCATGATGTTTCTAGCCATGGTTGGTTCAGCCTCAGATCTAAGCCAATCGTATTTCTCCCTTAAGAAGCAAGAGCAAATTTAGGCTTACGGTGAAATAAATCAGCTATTCTGATTGGAGGTGGTTTGCAGGTTTGTGTGTCAAAAAAATTATCAGCCTTGATCAATACCCTTACACCAGAGGTGTCCAACTCCAAAATTCCCCATGAAGTTGAAGTCCACAAGTCTCAAAGTTGCCCAGGTTGGACACTCCTGCCCTACACCTTTTTCGTTGTATTGCACAGAAAAAGGAATAGGGCTTTGATTACAAATTTTTGACCAACCCCTTCTTTGTGGACACTTGTGTTTTGATTCAAGTGTAATGCTCACATTTCTGAAAGAAGCAAAGTGAGGAGGGTTAGAACAGAGTACACAAAAATCCTTGCTCCTTTTTTTTTCTCAATTCCTGGCCTGTGAATTTGCAGTTGTTGCACCACAATCCCAGATGTATGTTAAAAAATGGTTGATTTTCTAAATGCTTAAAAATGTAAACATCCATAGTCTCATCGTTGTTTTCTTTTTCAATCCAGTCTATTGAACAAAAACATTTATGTATTAAAACGTCAGTAAGCATGAATATTCTTTTATTGACATCGTTTTTTCCTCTTTCTTTTTCTTTTCTCCTTTATCCCACATTTTTGGATGTTTTTATTGCCTTTGTCTTTGATTTTTATCCATTGCACATCTGAAGTGACAAAGAATTGTTAACGCAGACTAGGACTATTGCTATGACTTTGGTGAAATGTTCCAGTCGTGAAGGGCAGCCCCAGTACAAGCTGGTTAAAGATATATCGTTTTGAAGCCATGGTTCTTGCAAAACAATTCGTAATGGAGCAAACAGCAGCGCTTACACAAAGAAAATGAGCTTTGAATGACACTTGGATTTAAGTCTCTTGTCCATGTATTTGGCTTACTTGGGATGTCAGTGTAGTATTCTCATTGGACCGTGTTTCTGACACTGATTTCCTGCTTTGTTTTTCTGAAATGAAGTGACAATAGAAATCTTAATTTAGCAGTTTCCAGTTGCAATTGATCTTCTCAAAATCAGTTTTATTACATAGCAAATGATAGAGACTGACTTCAAGTTCAGCTAGCATTATTTTTATGACCGTGAAGCTGGTAGGGAGAAATGGTTCAGAAAAGATCTTACAGATTGTAATTCAACCTCTGTTTACATAGATCTTTTCTTGTCTTTTGGTAAGGACAAGGGTTAAACATGGTCTTCCGGATTATCTTTAAATATATTAAATCTTTGCACAACGTTGTCTTTAAGAAATGTAGATGTGCACCACAGTTGTGCTAGGAGAATTATATTTTGCTTTAAAAAAATGAATTAAGTTGGAAATCCACCATGCTTTGAACCGAAGGAGTAGTGAAATGTAAGTTAATTGGTGCACATTGGTGAAGCATAAAAGCTCTTTTAGTGGGACATACGTGTGCATCTACTTTGTGGTACAGAAGAAGTAAGAGGGACTGATGGAAACGCTTGTTGTTTATAGGTGATAGCATTTTATCATGAAATGTAAATTTTTCGTCTGTGCTCGGACATCTGCCTGGGTAGAAAGGCTTTACAGTTAATTTTGGGGGAATGGGCTTTCTCCCACACCCCTGCCTTTAAAGCTGAGATGACGGAGTTTTAGGAACATATTAGCATTAGAGCAGGAGTGTTGGGGGTCAGAAAAGCCAAGATGGCACCACAGCCAGAAGCCCTCCCCTTTTTACACAGAATGCATGGGATGGGGGCGGGACATGACACAGCGGCTGCTGGCATTTGGAGATTTTAAGTACCCCCCCCTCCTTTGTAACAAACATCGTTGCATTAGAACTCAAGATAAATCCCCTTTCAACCTTCTTTAATGAAGGTTTACTGGATGATTTTTACAAATTTTCTGGGGATAGGCAGTGTTTTCAAGAGCAAGATTTCTCTCCAAAGTGAGGCTAGTCCAGGGGTAGGCAACCTCGGCTCTTTTATGACTCATGGACTTCAGCATAGCTGACTCAGGAATTCTGGGAGTTGAAGTCCAGGAGTCATAAAAGAGCCGAGGTTGCCTGCCCCTGGGCTAGTCCATGCCTGAAAAAGCCCAGTGCACAGAGTCGCTTCACACTTCGATTGTCCTTGGAACATAGATGATCCGCAGGAAGATGGGGAGATTATCCGTTTCCTTTTTCCTTAGAAAGGAATTTTGGAGCAAGCTGTGTATAAGATCGGAAGAGAAGTGACAGAAAAAGTCTAGGAGGCTTGCTCTGCCAGGCAGTATATATCTGTTTTCTTATCCACTCTCAAACCTGGGGTGGAAATCCAACTATTTACATAATACCATAGATATTATATTAGACCAATATTAATGACCACAGGACTGATGCCACACAGGACACATTAGGCCAGGGTTTCTCATGCTTGGCAACTTGAAGATGTGTGGACTTCAGCTCCCAGAATTCCCCTGCAAAGAATTGTGGTGGAGGAATTCTGGGAATTGAAGTCCACTCATCTTCAACTTGTCAAGTTTGAGAAACATTGTATTAGAGTCAGTGACTTTCCTTGGCATGTGTTGAGCTTGAAATACACTTTTATTGTCTGTTCTAAGTTCAATCATCCAGTGTTCTGTATCAGTAGGAGATGAAAGTCAAAAAAGTCAAAATGGTGGCTGTGACCACACGGTCAGGGCCACCATTATGGTTTTTTTCATTGCCCCTGAGGATGTCTCTGTTCCTTTCTTTCTTCTTTTGTGAAGCCAGTTGACCGGGCTATTTGAAGTTTGGTTTTTCCTTTTCAAAAAAGAAATCCTACCTATAAAAGAGCTTAAATGCTCAGATAGCACTCTGCATGTATAAAACCTAAAATATGTATCACTCTGCTGTGATGGCATCTGTTTATCATGGATCCCAAATAAAAAAAATGGAGAAATTTATGGATGTTTTGTGGTGATAGTGAGATGAATAATTTGAATGTGTAGGCATTGTCTGGGTCTCTCATTTGAGTTAGTGAGTTTATCCCCAAAATTTGTTTTCATTTAGAAATGTTCTATTTCCCCATTTTTTTCCTTTTATTTGTCTTCATCCTTTACATCCAAATTCTAGCTTCAGTTTTACCCAAAGTTGATTTGAATTACACCAGATTGCAGCAAGCAGAGAAGGCTCACATGGAAGCAGACAGTGAGGACAAGAAAGTTAAACAAGATTATATGAATAAATCTGAAACTCTTCAGAAAGAAATTGCCCAAAAGGAAAACCAAGTGTAAGTAACCTTGATTTTGGGGAAACTGGATTATTTTTAATATTTTATTATAAACATTTTAATATTTATATGTCAGCATATATGTTTAATATATCAACCATTTAGGACAGACATGTTAAACACAAGGCCCGGGGGCCGGATGCAGTCCGCGAAGTGATTTCGTGTGGCCCGCAAAGCCATCCTGGAAACAGTGAGGGAACAGCCCCCGCTGCCTTGGCCCAGGCCAGCCGGGAGCCAATGTACAATTTTGTGGTGGCCATCTTGGCACTTGCCCCAGTGGACCATACCTTGGCACTTGCCCCGGTCTCACCCCCTTCTGCCAGAGACCCTCAGATCTGTCCCACTCCTGCCAGGCCCCCATAGGCATCCTTGACGCAAATGATGTGGAACTGGCCACACCCACTCTGGCCACCCCCACCGCCCCCCCAGGGCAACCGCAATGCTGATGCGGCCCTCAGTGAAATTGAATTTGACACCCCTGATTTAGAACAATAATATTCTGTCCTTGGTGTATAGCAGGGGTAGGCAACCTTGGCTCTTTTATGACTCGTGGACTTCAACTCCCAGAATTCCTGAGCCAGCATGGCTCAGCTTGGAAACCTCTCCCTTTCCCCTCAGCATGGCTGGCTCAGGAATTCTGGGAGTTGAAGTCCACGAGTCATAAAAGAGCCCAGTTTGCCTACCCCTGGTATACAGTATTTTTCTTTACAGAAATTTGTATAGACTTAAGATATTATTTCATGGAAATTATTAAGGATTAGGAACAGGAAACGGTGAGTTCTAGTCTTCCCTTAGAATATTTCTAGGTTGGCCTCTCTCCTTCAGCCAACCCACCCCTCAGGGCTGTTGCTGGAAAAATTGGAAGTGGAAACATTACACCCTCTGTCTTCAATTAAAGAAAATAAAGATGAAGTACCCACTCAAATAAATAAATACATCCATCCATACATTTCAGCCATTGCCTTTTAACTTTTTTCTTTCTCAAATGAATTTCCCAAGAAACACCATGACTTCCACTCCTCAGGGTGTTATTTATTTTTAATCCCTCCTTTATTACTTTATAAGTAACTCAGGGCAGTGGACCTACCCAATAATCTGTCCTCCTCTTATTTTCCCCAATCAATAACCTGTGAAGGGAGTTAGACGGAGAGAGTGAGTGGCCCAAAGCCACCCGCCTGGCTTTCATGCCTGAGGCGAGACTAGAAGTTACTATCTCCTCGTTTCTAGGCCAGCACCTTCACCACTACACCAGACTGGCTCTTCTATAGTACATTGATATTATATCTTGAGTTAAGCAGTCGTAGAATATTTAAATGGTGAAGTCAAAAGGAACTTTTTTGGGGGGGGGGTCTTCTAGTTCAACCCCTACTCAGAGCAGGCCATCCCAGGTAAATTGTTGCCCCCAGCCTTGGTTTGAAAACCTCTGAGGATACAGCACCATGACTCCAGGAATCCGGATGTCCTACCGTTTCATAACTGTCGTGGCCAAGAAAGCCCTCCTTATTTCAGGTTTGGGCCTTCCTCTATAAAGCTAACACTCAGTCGTTCCTGTCCTACCATTTGGGCATTATAGAGAATAAATCTACAGCTTCTTTCCTGTAGCAGCCTGAGAAGCATGAGAAGAGGGTTGTCACGTCTCAGCCAGGCCCATGTCCTGATCCTGCCTAGTCAAATAGTCTGGAAAAGGTGTCAAGAGTAGAGACTGGGGAGCTGCTGGGGCTCATTCAAAGCCAGGAACTTCAGTGCCATAGTGTAAATTTTGAAGCTCCTTTGAGTTTCCTATCAGGCAGGGAAGGCTTCTATGTAAAAAAAAATAAAAATAAAAAAAATAGGAAAAGTCTTCCACATTCCTTGAGCTCCTGAAATTCATTTAAGCCAGTGGTTCTCAACCTGTGGGTCGGGACCCCATTTGGGGTCGAACGACCATTTCATGGGGGTCGCCAAACCACGCTGTTCGCCATTTTTTCCCCTTTTCCCTAGCCGTCCTATTCCCTCTTATTGGTGGCCACACCCACTTGGGGGTCACCACAACATGGGGAACTGTATTATGGGGTCACGGCATTAGAAAGGTTGAGAACCACTGATTTAAGCTTTTGGGGTCCTTTTCTTGATAGCCATAACCAATTTTTATTCAACAAGAGAGTTTTAAGAAGAAATTATATGACCTGATTAAAAACTATGGATGGGTGTGGATTTTTTTTTTTTTTTTTTTTGGTAAATGTGGATAACTCCAAGCCACAAATACAAATTTCAAGATTAAGCTGGAGAGTGTGAGATTCTTTCAGCTTAGCTAAGCTGTGATCCTGGCAAGGCCAGCCAGTCTGGGGAATAAAGAGGAGGGGGAGGGAAAGGGGGAGAGGAGGAGGAGGAAAAGGAGAAGATCTGAACATTTAAGGAAAGATTTTTTTAAGGCCAAGCTAGACAATACGTAAAATGCAATTATGTGATTGCACATTTCATGTTCAGTCTAGTTTTACAATTTTATAACATGCAGCTTCCTTTTTATGGGTTTATTTTGAAGTGATGATTGTACAAGGATTGTTCTAGCTGGTTTTATTTGGCCTTTATTTCTCTCATTGTTTCTATCCAGACAATAAATTTAAATAAATCGATTAAGAATAAAATTAGAAAACATGTAGAAAAAGAGCTTCAGAGACGTTCTTTAGGATTTCTCAGAAAAAGTCGTCCTTACAAAAGGAGGAAAAAAGAAAGTGGACACTTTCCTCCTTTTTAAAAAAAAGTGTTAATTTTCTGTAATTTATTTTTGAAAACGTCTTATTGAGCATATCAAGCACCTATATTAGATTGATGCTATGATTTAAACAAGGTGAAATATTTATCACATAGTTTATGGCACTGATTAATTTAAAAGATTCCATAAATTAAAATGAAGCTGATGCGTTGAAAACATTTTTCAGCTTGAATGAAATTTTAAAATATTCTATATTTTTAGGTGTCAGCTGGAGACAGATTTGAAAATAGAAAGAGAATGGAGACAAACCATGGAGGAGGACCTTAAAAAGGAAAAAGAGACTACATGCTTTCTCCAAACAGAGACGCAGCAAATCATTACACTTAAAAAAGTAATTTTTCAAAACCTGAATCCCGATTAAAAACAGAGCAGACATGTCAAACGCAAGGCCCAGAGGCTGGATGCGGCCTGTGAAGTGGTTTCATGTGGCCCGTGAAGCCATCCTGGAAACAGGGAACGGCCCCCTCTGCCTTGGCCCTGGCCAGCCGAGAGCTAATGTACAATTTTGTGGTGGCCATCTATGCTGAAACGCATTCAATCTTAGCTCCATAAGCCCCTCCTGCATGACCTGAGAAGACCAGTGAGGCTCCTCCAGTGCACCATGCCTTGGCCCTTGCCCCGGTCCCACCCATTTCTGCCAGAGACCCCCACTCCTGCCCAGGCCCCCACAGGCACCCTTGACGCGAACGATGTAGAGCTGACCACACCCACTCCATCCACGCCCACCCAGTAGTCCGCAGCCACCCTGGCCACACCCACCCGTCCCCCTGGGGGGCAACCGCAATGCTGATGAAGCCCTCAATGAAATTGAGTTTGACACCCCTGGGACAGGGTGGAGCAGAAAATGCTCTTGCACACTTCATGAGGTGGGTGTGATGGGATCTGGGTGAAGGGCCATGAGGCTTCCATATAAGCAGGTGGGCTGTGGGAGACTTTCTGGAAGTCAGGTGAGTGGCAGCTGGCAGAAGAGCTTTTTTGCCTGAAAACTTCCCACTGATAAAAGCTGCAGACGTGGAAAACTGGAAAATATGGAAAACTGGGTCTTTGCGGTGGCAAGCAAAGATGTTATTTCCAACCACTTATACATGGGTCGGGGTGGGGGAAAAAGAGGGGAATCATGACCAGGACCATGATCCTGGTAGGTATCTCCAAAGATACGTTGAAAATGCCTAATATTCACTAAATGGCAATTTAGAAGGTGAGCTGTTAAATTTTGTTTAGGAGATCCTCTAATTTTAGATATTTTACAGAATTAATCTGGGGTTTGTAATTTTCATGTATTGGCATCATGCAGGGGGCCATTAAACAGAAAGATGGCTGCAACTGCATGATCGAAGTCTAGTCATATGGTAATGAGAGCCATCTTGACTTTTTTTTTGACAGTCCCTGCATATAATCTGTTTTATATCAATTACTTTTGGGCTGTGGTTCACAGAAGGTCTTGAGTTTGCTCCCACAAGGAAGCTCTCAGTTGGGCATTCCTGGAAGTTCTTATTTTACTGCTATAGCCATCTCTAAAAATTCTCATGATCTATTCTATTCTGACATAAAATGAACCCTTACTCCTTCACTGCCTCTGAATAATAATTCGTGGGTATCAATATGCTTTCCCCTTCTCTTTCATTGAGCACCTATTTGAACCAAAGAAATGCCTGATGTACATTCCTCCGTGTCAAGTATTGTCATGCTTTGTGTATCAATTAATTATGTTTGTTTCTATTTAAGGAATTCCTAAAGTTGCAGGGAAAAAACAAGCAATTGAGAAATCTTTGTCATGATCAAGAAGAAGCTCTCCAAGAGCTAGCCGGCAAACTTAGCGAGTAATTTTCCTTTTTTTTTTTTTTTTAAAGGGAAGGGGCATAATTATTCAGGTATCCCAATGTATAGCAGACTAATTAGGAATCATTTATAATTTAAGCATTTCATATTCTATTGAAGGGGTGGGCAACCATGGAAACTTTATGACCTGTGGATTCCCAGAATTCCTGAGCCAGCATAATTGCCTACTTGTTACATTGGCATGCTACATGTATTCAGACTATTGTGTTTGTCAACAACCAAGTCAAGCTGTATGCTTGCTAGGTATCCAGATCTTCAGAAGCTTCCATGGGCAGAAAATTTCACATATGCATCTACTTGTGGGAGAAGGAAGTATAAGATGTTTACCAGATATTTTGGACCTTCTGTGAATCTAATTCAGGATGAGCCTTTAATGTACAGTTTTATATTGCCCATCTAGCCCTAAGCAGAATACTAGTGTGATTTCAAGTTGCAAAGAATTCAGCCTCACAATTTCAGAACTGAAATGAATTAGTTTATTGATACATATTATAAAGAAACAACAAAAATAGGGCCTAAGAAAAAATTACTTTGAAAACACTAAACCACCTTTGCTTAGTTTTTATTCCTACCTGCACAATAACTGGTCTACTGAACAGTCCCACAATTAAGATTGTGCTCTAAAACAGACAATAAGATACTTTTATTTCACATCTTGATGTAACTGAGCTGTCATTTTGAATTCTTTAGGTGTCTGAATCCTAAATTACAATTTAAGTATTAAGGTGACCAGAATCTCCAGCAGTTTGTCATCACAAAAACGAACAAGTACTTACTTAAATAACAAAAGGAGTAAAGAAATAAATTCATAAAATATTATAGGAATAATGAATATACAAATTCTAAAAGCAAAGCCAGGTCTCTCATTTCCCTTCAGATCAAACTACCAACGAATTAGAATCATTTAAAGGAATGCTAGGTTTCAGATACCTTGTAAAGTGACACTGGATAAAAGGAAAGATTATGTGTGGTAACCATGTTAGGTGTTATGGTCTTAAGAGAAATACATCGCTTTCAAAATCCAGAATTTCTTTGTAAGATTTCCTGTGAAAAGAAAAACAAGTTTCTTCCCTGCCCTCCCCCCCAAAAAAATATTCTGAGCTTTTTTTATTGATCAGAGGAAGAGTCAACTTTTTTAATCGCCATTTTCATATAGCCAGTTTTCTAATTAGGAAATGGTATTTAACTATTGTCATTTTTCATTTGAATTGTCAGCAGGCAGCATCCAAACTTCATGTCTAAAACAGCAATTGTTGCTCAGTGCTGCTAGTTTCTTGCACTATATTCCTGAGTTGCTAAGAATGATGTTTCCAGTTTGTTAATAGGAACTGTCCTCCTCATAGTTTTTCTCTTTGACACCATCCACAGGCTCAGGATCTTTGTCTCTTCAAACATTAGTGTGACACTTCCTCCCAGCAGCATTTCCATTCCCACGAGTATTGTAAACATCCAAGGTTTTAAATGTTGGGGTATATATAACTACCCTTTTATTTTCAATATTTGAAGGCTGCCTCTGATGGACCTGAGAGAGTTTAATATAAATAGAATCACACAAATAAATTGGAGTCTAACAGTGAAGAAATCTATCCAGAAATAAGGAAGGCCTTCTTAAAGAATGATTGTGGTTAGCTATGAAAATGTCTTCTTTCTGGGCTATTTGAAAGAAAGTATTCCAAAGTATCTTTATCAATACCCGAAAAGGCTCATCTTCTCCTTATAAAGTGCTCAGTTCACACCAGTTTAGCTTGCAAATTGTGATCGGGGTGGAACTCACGGGATAAAACCTCCATAGTAACAAACAAGTTAGTTAACTCCAGAAATGGCAAAGCTTTTTGTGAATTTATTATCCGCAGGTACACACTGAGTAGGAAAAGGGGCGAGCTTCTGCACCTTTTAATTTCAAACTGGAATCTCCAAAAGTACTGATTTATGTGCTCCTTATTTATTGCCCATAATTTCTAAACCACATCTTCTCTTTAGATCAAAGCTTAAAATAGAAGACATAAAAGAAGCAAACAAAACACTTCAGGTTAGTAATATTTGAGGTGGTAACCGGCATCCCAAGTTGGTTCTTTCATTAATTTCAAATATTAGTTTTTCTGCCTTAAGCTCACAGCTTCCTTTGTAAATTGGAGCATAAACTGTTATGTCTATTGTTACTGTGCATTTGGGTTCTATTCCAGGGTGTACAAAATATTTTCAATTTGAGATATGTTGGTCTGATGTTACCAGAAATGTTCCTATGCTGCTGCAAAATCATTAGGTTTACACTGGCGGTTCAATTATTTGTAGAACAATATCTTTCTGTTAAGATGGGAACACCCATTTCAAATGTTAAATGTTTTTATATACTTTTATTCAGTTCCTAGCTTTGTTTTTAAATTTTTTAAAATGCCAATTCACTATATTGATGAAGATCAACAAATTCACACATAACTTTGCAGTTCCCTTTCTCTGAACTTAAACTCTTGTTTTAAGAGTACAATTTCTACTGAAAGATTTCTGATCTGTTTAGGAAAGACTTACTCTGTGAATGTTGCTCTTTGGTAAATCCTGAATGGCATGTAACAAAACGATAGTTTTGCATTTGCAGTTGTTCGGTTCAGATAGCATCTTTTCTCCTCACTAGGGCCTGGTCTGGTTGAAGGACAAAGAAGCTACTCACTGCAAATTATGTGAAAAAGAATTTTCTCTTTCCAAGAGGAAGGTGAGTTTATATTAAAAGTTGTCTTTCATTAATTAAAACTGATAAAAAGCTGGAAATATATCAAGTGCCAGAGATGTACTGCTCATTATGTGCAGTAAATTTTATCAATTGCTATGAATTAAAAACATATTTTCACTCACTAAATGGACATTTTCACCAGCCATTTGGCTTCTATCAGTTTTCTCTGAAGAGATGCTATAGAAATTTTAGGGTAATTGTTTTACCAGCTCTATAAGCAACAGCTAATAAATTGAGAGAATTCCTGTAATGATTTTCCAAATAAAATATCTTCAAGGGGTTGATATAGTACGTTTATTTTTACCCACAAAAATAGGTTATCTGGGTTGGTAGACCTAAGTTATCATTGGTTACTTACTGCTTAGTACACAAATTATATTGGCATAAAAATCTTTTTTTTTTTTTTTTTTTTTTTGGGATTTAGCATCATTGTAGAAACTGTGGTGAAATTTTCTGCAATGCCTGCTCTGACAACGAGTTGCCTTTGCCGTCTTCACCAAAGCCTGTTCGCGTCTGCGACTCCTGTCATGCGCTACTCATACAAAGGTGTTCTTCCAATATACCCTGAGTCTTCTGCAGATGTTATAAGACGTTCACTAGGAGGACGAGCGCTGTTGTGTTGGCTGCTTATATATATTACTGCAATTCCGGCTTAATGCCCTTAATGTCAAAATTGTGCCATTGTTCTTGCAATACCAGAATCAGTCTCGTTTTGTACAGTGGCTCTGAGGCAATGACTGAAATGCATCTGCTTTGCAGTTCTGCTTCTGCTGTTTTATGTTGCAGATGTGCTATTCTAGTATGTGGGGCAGGACTGACCTTGTAATGAAAGCTTTATGCTGAGAACAGGGAAGCCAAGGAACTGAAATTGGAGCTGGATAATGTTACACGTCAACTGCACGATTTGTGTAGTTTGGCGTCCTCCCTGATACTTCCACTGAAAAACCATTGTAGCTTACAGGTGGGCAAAGTTGAATTAGGCAAATTATAAACAAATATATACTTGTTTGGGGGGGCAGAACTCAAGTTTATTTTCTTGGGTGTTTCTACACAACCCTTTCAAGTTGGCCTCTGATTCCAGCTTCTGAGCAACAGTTTGTGCAGGTTTATATTGAATCTAGTAGGTGGGAGTTGGAGGATCTAGTTTAGCAAGATGATGGAAGGGTTTGCTTCTCATGGATGGACAGATTTGTGTTCAGGGTCCATCTAGAATAGACAACTCAGGGCTGAAAGATTTCCATTCAGAGATTCAGATGGAGAAAGGTTAGGGAGAGAAAGATATCTTACAGTCTTAAACCTCTGGAATCAAAATCCATGATTAACTCCCCCAATTGGTTAACATGCAGCACTTACACTAGTTGCAAAATAATCCTTTATATATCAAGGAAGGGTAACAAGCACACTTGAGGATGTCTCTTTCCTATACAGTGTTTGTCAGACAAGTGATGCCACATAAAAAGATGGCCAGAGTAGTAACTTTAGATGAATTCTCCATATATTGTACAAGATTGGTTGGGGTAGACTTGCAAAAAGAATGTATCTTAAAAATTGTCTTTAGCTAGCTGGACTTCTTATATAAATAGAGCTTTTATATATACGCACAAACTATTTGCACTTTTTTTAAAATGTAAACTTAAGTTATTCAAAATGATCTATAAGGAATAAAAATTACAAACTAGCAGATTGCCAAATGAATTGTTAACAGAACAGGCCAGGATAGTGTTGCTTTTATTTGTCCTGTAGGAAAGTGAGATTACTTATTTAAGTCATTTTTGGGGGGAAACCACTGTATCTAATTAACAATTTTACTTGAAAAGTAGAGGATGTAATAAAAAGAAATGGTAGTCTTGTACTGATGGGTTATTTTTAATAAATGTTTTTAATGTGAAAGCATTACCTATTCAAAAGTTACAATGCATTTTTTTCCATTGGATTGATCTAAAAATCAACCACTCCTTTTTGAATCTTCTTTTTGATTCTGCTTCTACAACCGGGTGCCTTCCAGATTTATTAAAAAAGATGGAATTGCAATATAAGATCAGTACAAGATCCATGAACGACAGATATAACTACTGAGGTCAATAGAATTTGCTGCAGTGATGTGCTGTTCTGTAATTTTAATTAGCGTTCAGTATTTAAGGGATACGAACTAAAACAGATTTGAGATAGTACAAGAAATTACTGGGGAACTCCTTGTCTAACAGCTGTTGGCAGTAGAGTCAGGCAACCACATGAATTGGTGAGTTCTCATTTATGAGAGGCTGGATGCTTAGTACTGGTTGAGAAATTCTGGGAGTTGAAGGTCATGCGTCCCAGTTGCTGAGGCCAAGAAAATTCTACTGGATCATTCAGTGAGCAGGACTCGTTTCCAACCTGATAATTCTGAAATTCTTGTATCAAAATGTCAAAGTAAGCCTTAACCGTACAACCGATTTTCAGTTACAAGCTCATGAGTTATTAAGTAACTTTAACACATGATCGATAAAAGATTCCCCCCCCCCCCAAAAAATCCTGTATCAGCTCTGAGAAGGTTGAATTTTATTGCTTAATCAGCAGGGCAGATTTAATCCCTAAATTGTGCTTTGGACATGACACCTGTCACTAACAGTTCTTTAAGTATATTCTCTGATGGGTTTGCAAGGAAGCTGCAATCCTGAGAAAAGACACATATATACTTAATAATTGCAAACAGGCTCTGAAATATTTGGGGAGCTAAATCCCAAAAGAGCAATTTTATTGGCTATGAAATAAGCCCCCTTCAATTTCAGGTGACAAATTTGGTTCCAAACTCAAAACTATCCAGCCTTTAGAGCAGTGGTTCTCAACCTTTCTAATGCCGTGACCCCATAATACAGTTCCCCATGTTGTGGTGACCCCCAAGTGGGTGTGGCCACCAATAAGAGGGAGTAGGACAGCTAGGGAAAAGGGAAAAAATGGCGGACAGCCTTGTTTGGCGACCCCCGTGAAATGGTCGTTCGACCCCAAATGGGGTCCCGACCCACAGGTTGAGAACCACTGCTTTAGAGAAACGTCAGCTTGGAATCTTCATCAAATTTCATGTGATTATCCATTTCTTATGTACACATATTTTCTAAGAACAAGCTATTAATTTCTGTGGTGGAAATATGCCAAGATTTTAAATTGACATATGTGTATTTGGTAATATTTTGGAAGATATTTTTTTTAAAGAAAGCACAGCTTCAGAGTTGACTACTATGGATTCTCAATTCAATATCTGAAAATCCTTGAATCCGAGAGTCCTTAATGACATCAAGCAATGCATTCCGGGTCTAGACTTATGGAGGGGAGCAGAATTTCTTACTGGTGTTTAACATTAGCCTTTGGAACAGAGCGTTATTTACACAACATTCTCAACTCTCCTTCACAGATAGTTTTAGGCTTTCTAGGCTTCATGCCAAGTCATCAAGGTGTCTGGAAAGGAGCCATAGCAACCTTTTCTTCCCTTAAAGCAGGGGTCTGCAACCTTGACAACTTTAAGACTTGTGGACTTCAGCTCCCAGAAGTCTTAAAGTTGTCAAGGTTGCAGACCCCTGCCTTGAAGAATTGCTTGGAGGGTGGCATTCACTCACCATCAACACATACTATTGTGCCATACATGACGCTCTGAATGAATATCACTCTTTCTTGTAATTTATTCCAATTGTATCATGGAACGTATTATACCGTCAGCTACTAAATTTTTAGAAATCTCAAAAGAAAGTAGTCACAATTGGTCACAATTGCTGAAGGAAACACTGGGGAACTATATAATTATATCCAATAATTCTGATACTGTTCCAGGTCAGAAAACGTGTTTTTGTATTTTAGCATTTTACTTTATTATGTGTTTGGTATTTTACATGAAATTTTGGTCAATGACCACCAATAAAATTTGATTAATTTAAAATACAAGTGTTTGGAAAAACTATTCAACTATTTTCAGCTTGCCCTGGTGAAGCTAAAAAAAAAAAAAAAGTCATTCACTTCGTTATTATGCACTTGGTACACATGTTACTGCTGGTGTAATAGTTGATGCACACGTATTTCCATTAAATAAAAAGCAATTCTTCCTAGTAAATTTGAGAAATATTTATAACAGCCATGCTGGTCCCATGTGACCAGAAGATATACAGCACTAATGTTTACAAAAAGTAATCTCATTAAGGGACTGGTAGGTTTTGTTATGAATTATCTAATGCCACAACATAGGAAATCTTGAGGTAGAAAATAACAGTCTTCCATACAGACATTTGACACTCTGAATGTGTGGGAAGAGTGCATTAATCTTAGAATGCGCTCTTATTTAGAATGAAGAGTGAAACCGATGCTAGGATGAACTACATTCCATTTGCTTGAGCCAAAGAATTAACATATTGGTTATCAGAGGCTTACATAATGAAGTCCTTGCTTTAATGCAGTGATGGCAAACCTTTTAGAGACCGAGTGCCCAAACTGCAACCCAAAACCTACTTATGTATCATTGGGTGCTGGGTGGGCGTGGCCCATTGGGTGGGCATGGCTGCGGTGGTAACGGCAGACTGGGTGGGACTAAAAAGTTCAATCAATCAATTCCAACTTTGCGAGATCATTTTTTCCCCCGCGAGAAGTTGAAATTGATTGAACCTTTTTTTTTGCACAAGGTGGCAGAGGCCTAAAGCGAAAAGGTTTTATAAAACCCAGCTGAAGGCCTAGGACTGGGGTGACGGTGCGCATGCCCAAAGAGGGCTCTGAGTGTCACCTGTTCGCCACTACGGTCCTAAGGCTTCCTCCCAGTCCCTGATCATTTCCTTTGTCTCGTCATTCCAGTTGTTCTCTGCAAACTTTTTTTCAACAGTGCCCCAAAGTACACACTATTCAAGCCATTTATTAATACAAAGAATGTACAGATCATGGTGTGTATTAATAGGATCATACAAATTCATAATGATGTGGCCATTAAAGTCATGGTGGCGAACCTGTGGCACGCGTGAGCCCTCTGGGCACGCGCACTGTCGCCCCAGTCCTAGGCCTTCAGCTGGGTTTTATAAAACCTTTTCGGCTAAAAAAAAAAAAAAAAGGTTCAATTTCAACTTTTCGTGCAAAAAAAAAAATCTCGCAAAGTTGGAATTGATTGATTGAACTTTTTAGTCCCACCTAGTCTGCCGTTACCACCATAGCCACGCCCACCCAATGGGCCACGCCCACCTGGCACCTGACGATACATAAGTGGGTTTTGGGTTGCAGTTTGGGCACTCAGTCTCTAAAAGGTTTGCCATCACTGTCCTAGTACATTTCATGGAAGACACAGTGCATTGAGTAAAGCACTGAAATCATGGATCTCACCTTTGTTTTTTCTATTTAATTTATTCTGTAAAACCGTTTAGGATCCTAAGATTTGCAAACAGGAAAGTGTATTTTCAGAATCAAAAATGGCTAGCTATTATGACACACACGGCTGCTGTTTGTATAAATTTTACTGAGAATAAAACTTATCTACAAATTAACATGTTTAGCTTTGGAATCATAGTATTGAATATAAATTTGTATCTTTTCTATTTTGCTATGACCCATGAAATTCTCATACTTACCTCTTAATGTTGAGCACTAAGCCTTGATGCAGATATGCTCAACCAAAAAGTAATCCTTATGGATCTAAATTACTTGCATATTTAATACAAACCTAAAAAAGTGTTTACCTTATACAGAATTTTGTACAAATTAGAAAAGATAAAGATCTGCATTGTTTGCCCTTCGATTAGATAAATTGACACAACACATGTCCTAGAATGAAATCTATTTTGCTATCTCCCACAAAACATTTATTACATACATAGCATTACTAGCAAAAACAGGCAACAAACTTTAAGTTTATCACATTTGACAAATTATTCTGAAGAATCTGGAGGACAAGCAATTAAAACAAAAAACCTTGAATATTAGTACCTTTTCTTCAATACACAGAAAATGCTTAAGTGGCTAAACAGTATTTCATCCAAACAATCTTACATGTTAAAAACGCAAAGCAATCTGTCAGACTTTTAGGTGGAAGTGTTGTTGACTGCCAGATAGGCCACACAATCCTTACGTGGGTATCTTTAGCAACAGAAATGGCATCCTCAGGTCAATTGTTTTATTTTTAAGAACTGTAACAGTTCTCTATCAATTTTACCGCAGTCCATTAATGCAATAGCTTTCTGCTTTTCTCCCATATCTTTTTCATATACTATCTATTAATAACTTATCTCAAACTTTAATTGTCAAGAAAACAAAGTGAAGATTCAAACTATGTTTTCTATCAATATATTTTACATATGAAAATTCTGACATGCACATAGCTCAGACTACAAGTGTAGCAGTTGTGCATTACGTCATTCCAGAATTTTAACTCATGGCCTCATCTCCCACACTATTTTCAGACATTCTGCCATTATTTTCATTGACAAACTATTTATTAACTAACACTTGATTTCATTCCAAACTACAACAAATGTAACATAAACCTGATGGTTATTTCATTTCATAGATGTAGAATCAATAATATAATCTTCCAGTACAACTGCTTTTAATGAACCAAATTTCTTAAAACAAAATCCTAAGATACGCAACTATCTTCAGGAGGAGCTAGTATAAAAACTATCAACATCAGTGGTTTGAATATAAAAAATTTATTTAAAGTCAGAGTATGCAACAAATAAAACCTACAGAAAACAGATTTCCCCATCACAATCTGATGCTTACCAAATAATGGGAAAACACATTCCTTCAGTCATTATAAAGTTTTCAATACAAAAGAAATTTTAAATTTTGTAAGAAAGCCTAGTAGACCAAGTACTGTTTCCTTCCAACACGCTTTGGAGACACAATGATACTCTTCAATACATTCCACGCCAGCCACCTCCTCCCATGTTGCCTTGCCCGTAATATCCACCACTATTTCCGCTGCCACGACCTATAAAATAACCGCAATACTTTTATTCCTGTAGTTAACATTGTTTAAACTTTACATCCACCTATATGAATGAAAGAAATCTTACCACCCTTATGATGCTACTCATGCCTTCCGAGCATGGAAGCTACACTGCATTCTTAGTTCTTCATGCAATGCCAAGTACTGGTGGAGATTAAAACCAATACCTTAATATTAAACAAAACAAAACCTTACCATAGCCACCCAATCCATCAGGAGTACCATATCCTCCAGTGTAACTGCTGCCCATTCCCATTCTTCCAACGGAACCATAACCGCCTTGCTCTGGAAAAGAGCAGTTACTATTAGTCTCTAGAAATCCTATACAGACTGAAATAGAATTAAAAATCTGAAATTAAACCTACCCATGGCATCTCTGCCAAAGCCGCCCATTCCAGAAGCGCCTCCAGCAGTTGAATTGAGGAATAGCTCGATGTATCGATGCTCTTTAAAAGAACAAAAAGCTTACTCCCATAAATGCAAGCGTTAACAATTATCTGTACAAAATCAAATGAAAATGTACAAAACATCAGACGCGTTCCCTGTAACTTACGCATATGGTTTTTATCTTTAGACATGGCAGCCACTGCATCTTCATGTGTCACAAATTCCACATCAGCCTCTCCAGTTGCTCTTCCATCTGCTCCAATGTCAATATGAACCCTTATAGGAGTCAGTGGTGAGAAAAACTAAAAGAAAGCAGTAAGTTAAAGCTCCTCAAATTTAACCCATTATTTTTAAGTCTGTCATGTCCCAGCTACAGATAGTTGTGTAAAATAAATCACACATCATGCATATGCATTTTACAGTACAAATCTGATTTTGCGGATCCATTAGTTACTCTCATGAAATCCCTTAGAGTTGGATAGTCAATAAATTAAAACAAACTGACTAGGAAAGTATTTATTAGTACATGATAGTTTAATAATGCATATAATTTTTTAATATGCAACTGCATATGCAATTATTTCCTTAGTTGCTTTGTGTACAGAAAAATGTAAAAAAAAATGCTACTGCTTTGGTCGTATATCTATAAACCGTACACTGGAATGATGTTGAAACATCAAGCAGAAGTAACTGAGTTGATACAAATTAAGTATTTGGAGCACAAATTCCTATGACAAGCCAGTGTTTTGGTTGCTGTCTCTTCTATTAACATTATAGGCCCAGAATAACTCAATTATACTTCTGATAATTACATATGGTTAGTACAATGCCAATATTTACATTTTTGCATTAACCTGCAGTTATTTTCAAATCAAAGTATTCATCTTTTCAGCAACTTGCAATTATCAGGTCCCCTCCCATTCTTCTCCCTGATTTATCTACCTATTATACTGTTGCTACTATTTAACATCATTCCCACTAAGCCACTAAATATTGATTTATATTACTCCCGCCCCCTTTATAAGCTTGCCTTCATTTGAAGATTTCCAGCTCCATTAGCAAGAAAAACACAAATTCATCAGCACAGAAGAATCAAGCAACCTAGAGATCTTTGATACATTTCTATATTACGTTTGACTGACAAATGACGACACTAACATCAGGTTTTTAACTAATAGATATAGATTGCATGGCTGGCTAAAAGAAATTGAACAATAATGACAGCAATTATAATAAGTTATTATATTTTCTATTAGAAATCCTCTTAATTTTGACTAATTTATATGCGTACCATTTTAATTGTAGTAACAGCTAATTAAAATATAATTATCAGATTTATTAACCTTTCTGAATACTTTGTCAGAGAAGAAAGATGAGGATATAAATCAAATACTGGGGTTTTTATTTTGCATTTTTTTTCTCCGTCTGTTTAATTACTGTATATAAAATCTCCCCACCCCAAGGGGAACTCTAACATGAAATGTGCACTTCAATTACTTTCAAATACCACTAGTCTTTCAATTACAAAAGACACACACATTTAATAACCTTAATTTATGTGCTTTTTAAATTCTCTAAGAAAAAAAAAGGAAGATTATTCTGGAACTTCTTGATACTTTAAAACAGCTGCATCTGATTCCAGATGTGACTTTTCATCTCTTGGAAATCCCTCCCCCCGAACATGCTTGTTTCAGCTAGAAATATTTTCCACAATACTCACATTAGCAATATCATTTTCAGTGGCTCGAAAAGGCAAACCTCTCATGTGAACAAAATGACCACCCTGGAAACCTGAACTTGCATCTCCTGCTCCGCCATAGCCATGGCCTCCCATTCCTAAAAGCAAAACAGGTCCATGAGGGCACAACTGACTCTTGGCTGAGGATCTATGCTGCCTCCTCTAAGAGAAGTAAACTACAATTGCAGTACCGTAAGCGAATCGATCAGTTCCTGTACAAAACTGACAGAACTAGAGATGGTACATATCATTTCTTGTACCCAACTTTTATAAACAGGATACTGAAAATGCCAAAGCAATATCTATCTCTAGCTGAGTCTGCAATAGACAGCTGAACAACACGGTAATATGTGTTCTTACCTCTCCCATCTCTCATTCTGTCATCATAGCCATCATTTCCATAGGCATAATTGTTATAGCCACCATACTCATCAAAGCCACCATATCCTGTGAGATTTAAGAGGGGGACAGACTGTGAAGAGTCTTTAAACACCAAAAAGGATGTTAACTTAGTGCATAGAACCAAACTGATTTGAAATGAAATACTTCTTTGCAAACATAACAGGCTCAAAAGCATGCAAGCCGAGTTTCACTCATATTTATTTAAACTCTCATTTCAGATGCCTCTCCATACCTTTTCATTCTCAAGTCATATGGCTGGTATAAACAAAGTGAAAGATAGCCAGGTTTCAGACTTGGTATGTATTACAATTACTGTCATTTCTGTATTTCTTGACAAAATGTCAGGAACGTGAAAATGACAAGAGCCTGTGGTCATTAGATACACATACCACCGTCATATCCACCATCTCCTCGATGGACTCTGTCATACATACTTCCACGCCCAGCTCCATAATAACCCCCTCTTCCTCCCATTGGTCTATCATATGGTCCGGGTCGCTGTCCCATCATTCTTCGGGGTGGATCATAGAATCCTCGGATTTCACTCCTACTACTTTTGAAGATCTCAATATATCTGAGTAAAAAAAGATTTACAATGTACAAATGTAAGAATACAGATATATACAGTTTGGAAAAATACAAATAACTGCATATATATTTTTTTTAATTTTAAGTCTAGGTAATAGCATTGAAGACAAGTGAACACTTTTTTTTTCCAGTGTCACTTTTAGGATTTAGGTTATTAAATGCAAAAACAAGCAGTTCTGCGATTTACTTTACTGACTAAAAATTCTAACTGTAAATTAAATACAGCAAATCTCTGAACCACATTCCCCCCTGCCCCAGTAAAAAGTTCTTTGAAAAAAAAATCTGGCTATTATAGAACACCCTCCACACACACAACCCTCCCCCTCAAAAAAAACAACCAGCCCAATTTTAGCAAGCTACATAGTATTACCAATCCCCCTCCCACCACATCTATTTTACTCCCAGTTACTTAGGGTGTTTTTATTAAAAAATAGCCAGTTTATTTATGTACCCCAGCCCCCCCAAAAGCAATTCTGACCCCCAACCCCCAAAAGATTTACCATCCCAAACTCTCCATCCCCACCTGTGCCCTATTCTTTCCTTGTGTTTCCCCAGAGCTTTTTCTGCTATCTCCTTTGAAGCAAACTGCACGAAGGCCTCCCCTGTGCTTCTCCCCTGGTAGTCCAGCGTCAATGTTATCCCATTTGGCACGATTTCCAACCCTTTAACCCAAGGACAAATAACCCCATCAAGGGGAAGAGTGTTAAAGTCTGAAACATTCCCATCTGTAGAAAATACTTAAAGCAAATCTACACAAATGCAAGAAAATAACTTAGCTTTCCCCCCCAACCCAAATACACAGGCTAAAGAGTTTTCATTTAGACATTGTATTACTGTCTCTTTGTTCAGATTACACAGCAACAGCTACATCACAAAGAACCCACCTATACTGCATGATGTCATAACTACATACTCCAAATTCTGACTCCTAATAGGCTATCTAAATGTGTAAATTTTTATCCTGCCAATGCAAACTCTTTACTTTTAGTAGAGTTTTTAAACAAAGAATACCAACATTAGTAATCTAAATTTTAAAGGCTGATTCCCCCTCCCCCGATGCTAATAAAATTTTAAGCTGTTTCAAATATCAATCTTGCAGACATAGAAACACTGAAAGTCACTTGACATTAACACTAGAGCTACCTTGAAAGAACTGAACGATCTCCTCCTTGCTGCAGCCAAATGGCAGACCACGCAATCGTACTGTTCCATCACTAGATGAATCATTTGGACCATTATGTTTCCCAGCCCAGTCCATTTTGCTGTTTAAAATCAAACACCATAAAAAACATAAACAGCAAATTTAGCATTTGAGAATGACGATTCACCCCCAACCCCTTCCTTCCTAAGCAGGACTGTATACATTAGAAACATCTTGAACTTTTTTTTTAAAAAAAAAAAAATGCAACAACTGCTCAGACGCTGCTTAAGAGTGATAATTTACAACTGCCATTGTCTTGAACTCATACAGAACTAGCATGACCTGCTCATGCAACCTGCCACGTAGCTATTCTCAAGACCTCGACTGATAGGCATCTCTATCTATGAAGACAAATTCTACTACTGCGTTACTTAGTAGTTCCTCCCTCTCACATTTGCCCAGCCACTTCAATACACCTATTCAATCACTGCCATGGGCACTATTTTTAAATTCATGCTACTGCAGGCCAGTGAAGCCACAGCAAATTAGTTTCCCAAAAATACATATGAAATAAAATGCATGCTTCTTGACCTGCATACAAATCTCATGGGCGTTCATTCCAATGCCAGCTACTAGAGCCAAGGCAGCAGTCCCATAGGGCTCAGGACTAGAATCCTCACAATTAAATAAATGGAAAGACAGTCAAACAACTAATTCTGGGGGCATAGGTAGAAGATAACATAAGCTAACAGGGGAAGGGAAATGAATCTGGGTGTGTGCACAAGAGGCTGCATTACCCCAGCAACATAGAACACCAGCAACATAGAAAAGCAAGCTTCATGGTTTTGTTTTGTTTTTTTAAAAAATCATTGAAATTGTAAGGTACAATGCAAGGTAATTCTCAGAGGTCTGTATGGGAGCATGTCTATGCATAGTGTGTACATACAATGTAAAAACTGTACAAATTGAGAGACCCTGAAGGTACATTTAATGATACAATGGCTAGCAAATTCAAAGCACAATTCACATATCTGCAGGCATTTCCTCCACTACAGTTAGACTAGCATCTTTCCACTTCAATCTTCCCCAAAGTAAAGTCCTTCTAAATATTTTGGACTATATTTCCCAGAATAAAGTATCTACCAATACTGTCTTTACAATTTTATTTATGAAGTGTTGGTTGGTGGGGTAGAACAATTTACTTTGAGTTGAAGCTCCCCCCCCCAACTACAGGAAAGAGTAGGTTTTTCTAATATTAAATAAAAATTATAATGGAAAAAATATTCTGCTCAGAATAGTATGTGCTTTAGACCTCAGCTTGTAATTGAGTCCTACCTTTCCCCGTTATAAGGTGGGTTAGAGATATCAGAAAGAAAATAATATTCTCATCACACACATTTGGGGAGGGGATTTCACAAAATGAGAAAAAATGGATTTGGTACACATACTAAAAACATTTCCTAAGATTGCCATTGAAGTGAATTTTCTTGTGGAAAAAGTATCTCACTACGATACATAGCGTAAGATGTATCTCGCCACCTAAGGCTAAATTAAAGCAGATTTTGCAGAGCCTACTTAAGCCTGATTCTTTGGGATAATAAATAATAAATTATTATTATTATTAATAATAATAGAGTTGGAAGGGACTTTGGAGGTCTTATAGTCCAACCCATAATATAAATTACTCCGGAGGTAAATGCCTCCAGAAGTTGTGAATTCCAACACTGGAAGTTTTTAAGAGGAGACTGGACAACCATTTGTCTGAAATATATTCAGACAAATGGTTGTCCAGTCTCCTCTTAAAAACTTCCAGTGTTGGAATTCACAACTTCTGGAGGCGTTTACCTCTGGAGTAATTTATATTACTCATCATGTTAATCCCTCAGGTTCTTGGAGAAGGGGGAAATTTGACTGGTATGTTAAAAGTAAAGCTCTACGTCCTCTTTGCATCTACCAAGTTCCATAGTACATGTAAATATATTTATATTTCTTTAAAATATCCATCCATCCAAACACACTGCCAAGTAAATTACCAGACTTAAGCACTGGTTTAACTTTGAGGTTAATGATAAAGCTTAAGTGGAATGTCAATCTCACAAGCTTATATTTTGAAACTAAAGTCTCCATAACTGGCCATACCTTCTAAAGCCATCATACTAAAATAACACAAATATCACATTATCAAGTATTTTCCAGATTATAAAGGCTGGAGATTGTTTAGCTTTAGATAATATGGGTAATATTCAGATTTCAACCCAAATTTCCTGAAAGATTTTAAACTTTGTTGGAATAGGAATAGAGAACTCTTAGGGAAAATTTTGTAGATTTTTCTGACTTGAATTGTTTGTTCCCATTTTATAGATGGAAGTGTTTAATTAGCATCAAAAGATATCAACTGTAATTAGATGACAGTGCTATTTTCATTTCTACTACTCAGGAAGTTCACAATGGAAAAGTTACTTTTTATCAGGGACTTCACTACAAATGTCTCTGACTCCCTACAATGGTCTTTCACCTTATTTTATCCCAAACAGCTCCTATTTTACATGTTTAATTTCTCCTCAAATGCTCAAAGGAGAGGTGGCAGCAAGCTAAAAAATCTAATTTTACATGTCATAGCACATGCTCTTGAAAAAAAAAATAAAGCACAGCCACAGCTAGTAAAAAGTTACCAAATCCTGGTTTATAAACCCATTACCTGTTTTTTTTCATCAAAACTCTGTGGATTAACAAGTCTCTCCCAGCAGCCCATACATCCTAAGTCAACTGCACCATTTTTTTTGTCTATAATATCTTTAAGTTCAGCTAAAATTGTGTCATAAAACGTTGAAAGTTTCCATTTGTTCAATAAGAACGGAAGCTTCCCCATCAGAGCAAAATGCATTCTAAACATATCCCTAAAGAAGTTGATAAGCTGAACCAATTGGAACAGCCAGGGATGGTCAAAGAAACATAAGAGGAGCCAATGCCACTGGGACTGCCAGAAGGAAACTGTGGATCTCCATCTCCATCTTGTGCAAATGCATATTATGATGCATGTAGTTATTATTCCAGAGGCTGCAGTCTCATTTTCTCTTCCTGAAAGTGAACATCTTCAAGTCTTTCTCAACAAAAACAAAGGTCACATTTCAACACATATGCAGAGGGATTCTTAGGCTGGGCTTTTGTCCAGGCAGATTACACATTCAAAAATAAATTCAAATCGCAGCTGAGTCAGCAGATTTTCCCCAGGTTCTTTTCCTAGAAAGCAAAGATATTTTCACCACAACGTGACTTCCACAGACTTCCTCTTCCTTATACCCATCTCCCATTTCCATTACAATACAAAGCTTGGAAAGAATAGCAAGAATAGTTTTAAATCTTGGTAGAGCTGTGGCTTGATATTATTTCACAATCAACATGGTTCCAGTTGACAATGTAGGAAATAACAGAACATTCCTTATTTTCCTATTGTTTATCATTAGCAGAACCTTTAACTCTGCAAATGGAGGTTGAACACATTATTACTGATTCTTAAGAGACCATTGGAGCATACAGCTTAATAGACCTTTGGGGTAAGGTGATGTATTCTGTATTCAGACCAGCTTTGTAGCTTTCCAATATAGTATCTTACTTAATAAAAATATGTCCATTGTTTATCAGAATAAGGAACCTAGATTTTTTTTTACATGACCCATAGATGTAGACTTTCTTTTAAAAGGCTGTAGTAAGTAAATGAAAAACATTTAAATGCACTTGAAAAAAATGATTGAACTGTGTGGTAAAAAAGTATATTACAAACAGAATTTAACATGCATACTTCTTGGAAAGAATTGCAACCCCAAAAAATCTTATTTCAGATCACCCAAATTAAACTGCTCCATTCCACCAACCAATAAAGAAAATCTGAAATCACTATGACGTTTCATTCTGGAGGATAGCAGAACACTTTACTCCAGTCCTGGGGATGGGATAATCCTATTTGTCTTCACTGTGTTTTTACTAGTTCTTTTCAATAAAAACATGAGTTATAAAAATGATTAATATACAGTACACACACTCTCTCATACTACAATTAAGACATTTCTCACAATTAATATAGAATTGCAGCATCAAAGAAAGTCACTCCCTCTTTGCTGCTGTATAGGTTTAATCTCTTTGGGGCTAACACCTTTATTGTATTTAATTAGCAATGTACATTTGGAACATGTTCAAAATCCCAATTGTTTTATAAAATTAATTAGCAATATAATGAACAAAACAGAAATCAAAATGGCTAGCAAGAACGTGCTATTTAACAAATCTGAATATTTTTTTTTTTGGTATCTCCACAACACACACATGAATTTTAGGCACACTAAAATAAATACATTTACAATTTCCAGTTCATTCATATTTTTCTTAATATAAAAAAGAGAATTAGAACATAAAAGAGTTATATTCTATTTATGTGGTGCAAACAGTTGTTTTCCTGTTGAAGACTGCAATTCTTCTGGAACAATCTGTTGGGAACAGCACAGGTGGGAGCCAGAACAATCTGTGGGGAACCAGCCAATGGTGGAGGCCAGAGTAAAAAACAACAAACAAACAAACAAAAATCCCAAACACCCATCTCAAAAGTGCTTTTTCAAAAGGCAGCTGGACTGTTTTTTCCTTGAGGAGGAAGAACAAAACATTTCGTTTCTCATCCAAGAAACTTCCATCAGTTGTGATGGCCAAAGACATCCACAGATGTTCAGTTCACAACATCAGCTATAATGTTCCACAGACATCTAGATATCCATCCTGATCCCCCTCTTTTCTTTCTTAAGCCACAAAGTCTTGGAAGATTCTGTATATCAGGGATCTTCAAACTTGGCCCTTTTATGACTTGTGGACTTCAACTCCCAGAATTCTTCAGTCAGCGTGCCTGGCTGAGGAATTCTGGGACTTGAGGTCCACAAGTCATAAAAGGGCCAAGTTGGAAGAGCCCTGCTGTATATAAACTCTTGCTCAAGAGTTGAACTTAGCCTTTTTCAGCTACTAATGAATTTGTCTCAACTAAGTAACACATACAGCTGGAGTCAAAACACATCTACACTAAATCTGTGTTCACTTTGGAAGCAAGCAACACAGAACTCAATGGATATCACCTCTGGCAATGCACTTTACTGTACTTTTCCTGTAATTATTTACTTCATCTAACTTTGATCACTACAGATGTTTAGTTAGACAGTATATACAATTATTTTTACTTACCAAATGCCATCATTTTGCTCTACTGTTTTATATCTAATTCAGTTAAGATCCTGTATATATTTACCCCAAAAGAATTTACAGTCTGTTCAACAAAGTTTATTCCCATGTTTAATAGTTTTAAACATCCAGACTTTATAACGGGGGTCTTCAAACTTGCCCCTTTTATGACTTGTGGACTTCAACTTCCAGAATTCCTCAGCCAAGCACTGGCCAAGGAATTCTGGGAGTTGAAGTCCACAAGTCATAAAAGGGGCAAGTTTGAAGATCTCTGCTTTAGAGGTAGTGCTCAACTTACAATAGGTCATTTAACAGTCAAATGACCACATTCCGAGTACTTGGCAACTGGCTCACATTTAAGACCGGTTGCAATATCCTGTGGTCACATGACTGGAACTTCTGAAACTGAACTTTTTTGTCCAGTTTCCAACATTTTCTGAAGTATCCTGCAAAAAAAAAAAAAAAAAAAGGTCCATTCAGGAGAATGGATTTGGCCTTATGACTGTGTGATTTGCTTGACACTATAAAAAAAAGGTTTAAAAAACCCCATGGTCTACTCACTATGCTAGTAAAGGCACAATTATAGTTAGATCAACTATTATGTTATTATTTTAAATAAATTACTTAAATTGGAAATTAGATTAGTTTCACTCCTCTTGATACTCTGGAAGTCCCTCAAGACCTAGTTTTGTCATGAGGCCAGAGATGTATTTAGATGGCTCCGCTACTGAGGTGGATCTACACATTCTCTTTCTGCCTCAGATTGTACAATTATAATTTTAATTAATTTTTAATATTGACTTTTTAAATGTTTGTTGTCATATATTTGTTGTTCCTTATTTAATTACTGTATACATCTTAATATGGTAAATCGCCTAGAGCCAGGCAGCATATATTTTTGGTAAATATCCCTACAAGGCTATGGACCCAGTAGTCCTGTTTAAGCATTACATTTTTGTGTTCAGTACAATGTGCAAGTATTTCTACTTGAGCTGGGTTCCAACTTGTATCTACTGAACACAAAGATTTCTGCTAAAAACAACTACACTTTGAACTGAGAGACCCTAAATTAGGAGTCTTCCAGCTTAGTCCTTTTATGACTTGTGGACTTCAACTGGCAGAATTTCTCAGCCAGGCATGCTGGCTGAGGAATTCTGGGAGTTGAAGTCCACAAGTCATAAAAGGGCCAAGTTGGAAGACCCCTGCCCTAAATCAAGAAAGTATCTCTTCACTTACAGCACCAGTGTGATTAAAGGGAAAAACAATTCAAGTTCCTGCTCCTGACTTGCTGGAACAAACTCAGCTAAGTATCTTTAGTCCTGCCATTTCTGAAATCCATTCAAAATTCAACCAAAGCAGCTATCTATACAATGTTGGTAGTGGTTACATCAGTTACTATTCTTTTCCTTATTCCTGGTCTCAAAAAGTGAATCGAACGTAGCAATGACCTCGAGTGGCTATTTACAATCAACAGTAGGGCCTTATATTTGATTAACAAGACACAAAGCAGGTAAAGGCCCCACCAATCCCTGTCGCTGGTCAGCACACAAATGCCACAATGACCTTGCGCTTTTGAATCTTAATCTCAACCGCTGCAACGCCCGAACCACCGCCATTAGTTCCCATGAGGCTTCATCGAAACTTTTCACATTTTACACTTCGCGCTATGGTATTCTGACCAAGCCCTGCCACCGACGGCACGTTTCCATTTCGTCAGTTCCAACTGACTCCAAGGCACCTGACTTCCGAGGGGCTGAACGTGGGCTGCGATGCTTCGGGTTGTCAAGAGAAACCACCTTCCAAACAACTCTTCCAACTTGCCTTGAACCTTCCGCTACGCTGACCACAGCGCGCAGGCGCACAAGCCCTCCGGGAGGAGTGGCACCGGAGAAGTGGTCCTCGGCGGACGAGGGATATCAATGGCGGAGGCGCACGCTTCTTTTGTCACGCTTCGGGGACCCGCTTCGCCGTCTTCGTCTTTCCTCCACTCGGGCTTGCCCTACCGAGAGTCGCCCTCGGCCCCTTCAAGTAGCGGCGGCTGCAGCCAGCAAGAGGCACCGCGATACCGTTAGCAGGCCGAGAACACCACCGATACGTCGCGGCCGCCCCCACCCCCGCTGTGGCCGTCACGTTAAAAATGGCGGCTGAGAGCAAAACCCTGTCGAACTTTCCCGCGCGCGTGCGCACGGCGCCGTTTAACCCTTTCTTTCTCCTCTCCCCCTCCCTCTTTACACTGCCCCCCCCCACCCGCCCGCCCAAGGAGTTCACCCGTTTCTCAGGAGCGAGAAGGCGGGTCCGCCCACCTCGGCTCTCCTTTTCCGCCGGCATATCGGGACAAGTTGCCCGGCCGCTTCCCGCCACCCACTCACCGGTAACACCTCACCCACTTCCCCAGGCGATCGGCCCAAACGGCTGCGCGGAACTCCCCACAAAGAACAAGGAAGCGCTTAACCGACGGCCGACTAACAAGCTACGCAGCTGAGGCAGGCAGGATGGCGTCGTAGGCGCGCCTATCGCGAGGATTCCCGTCGCCTAGCGGCGGAAATGGCGCATGCGCGAGAGAATGACCGGCAAATGAGGGGACGCTCCGCACGGGGGAGGAAACCGTCGAAGAGGAAGGTGGGGGTACGCATGCGCAGCAACGGCGGTGGTCTGAGGTATCCAAGATCGTGGGGCGGTTTTCCGTTGGTTGCCCGCCTCCGCAGAACGTTGGAAATATGAATACAATACCGCTCGTTAAGATGTTTGTCTCGATGTTCAAGCAAACGTTCCGTTCTGTTAGCGCCTTAAAAAGCAAACGTTCCGTAGCGCGTAGAACGGTGTTTCTCAAAGCCGGCAACTCTTAAGATGTGTAGACTTCAACTCCCAGAATTCTCGAGCCTCCCATGTTGGCTAGGGGATTCTGGGAGTTGAAGTCCATACTTATTAAAGGTACGGCGGTTGAGAAATACTGATCTAGCAATAAAAATGCCAGCTTCCAATCTTTTTTTTATTGTTGCCACTATGTTGCCAGCGTGTAAGGCACAGCTATTTAGAATTTATTTTTGTATTGTTTTCAGTGAATCCTTCCAACAGATGACTGCAAGTCTATTTTGACTTCTTGAACAAAGGATGTGCCAGTTTTCTGAAAAAAGTAATTATACTCAAGTCTTCTATTTTTCAAGACCCAGATAAAGTTCTTTTTCTTTGCTGTTATTTAGGCTAGGGATCCCCAATCTTGGCAACTTTTAAGACCTGTGGACTTCAAGTCCCAGAAATCCCCAGCTAGCCATTCCCCATGCTGGCTGGGGAATTCTGGGATTTGAAGTCCATAGGTCTTAAACTTGCCAAGGTTCGGGACCCCTGATTTAGGCAAATGGTGGGCGGGGTAAAGGCCATAGAATATAGCTCATGTAGTGTTCTTATGGAGTACTTTAATACTCTGATTCCCACATCAATTCTTGGACTAGAACTAATTTTCTTATTTATCAATATCCATATAAAAGTAACTTTTACTAGTGGCAAATTCTTTTGCTCCGTTATACAAAGTCACAAAACAGTATGCCAGATTTGCTTTGTTTTTCTTGTTGGTTTCAGTATATTTGATGTTTAGTCTTACCTTTGTAATAATTGCTTGGTTTTAATTTTGTTACAGTTTGATCTTCTGGGAAGTTATATATTTTGATGTTTACAGTTTCTAAACTTTAAAAAGACAACAGAAATGATGCAATCAACTGTATGAAAGGGTTAATAAAATATGATCAGACAAGTTTACAATTCTATTTGTCTATATGTCATTTATCAATCATCAGATGGCATAACGTATAGCCACATCATTTTATTACTTCTTTCAGTAATTAGACTGGGTGTGCAAATCACTTTTACATGCAATGTTCCAAAGTATAATTAGTCCTTGACATACATCCATAATGGAGCCCAGCCATTAGGATTGTAAGGCCTAATGGTCATAAAGTGGGTCACTTACATCACTGACCCAATTTTATGACCATTCTTGCAATGGTCACTAAGATAACATAATAGTTGTAAAGTGAATGCCATTGTCATTAAGTGAATCCATTATTTTTTATGCACCATTTTTCATGAAAAATGGAAGTTAATGCCAATTTTCAGCAAAAAAATAAAATGTTACTTGACAGCAGGATGTGGCAAATGGCCATAAATGTGAACCAGTTGGTGAACACCTGACATATGGTCTCATGTCTGGGGGGGGGGGTAGCTATTGGTATTTTGGAACTGGGTTTTAAGTACCTTTGGGGTGGTCTGTTATAATTTCAAATGGTTGCTAGGTGACCAGTTGTAAGTCAAGGACTACCAATATGACAACAAACTTAAATGTGTTCAATTTTATTATTGAAATGCAACTCAATGATCAGGAGCTCTGCTTCACATCAAAATCAGCTTAGAATAGAATGCACAGTGAAAGACTAATTATACTTTTTATAGTATCTTATAGCACAAAAGAAGCTTTGTTTTTAAAATATGTATCATATTCAACAACACAGTGGAAGTAAACAAATGGTAAATCAAATATTGCAATATTAGTATAGTGTTGCTAACAACTTGTTATAGATGCACAGTCAATGTCTTTCTGTACTTGGGGAAAGAAAATCTTGTTCAAAATTGCATGCATTTATTATAAAATCTCACATAGCAGGTGAACTGGGATTACATTTTTTTTAAAAGTTTTGTTAGTTTATAATATATGATACAATCGAAATATGAAGTAAATTGCAGGAAAGATGGGGAAGGGAAAAGGGAGTAGAGAAGTGAGATAAGGGAGAAAAAAAGGGGGGGGCAAAAGGCATTGACTTCCGACTTCCTTTGGTGCAATAGAGTATCAACTTCAAACCTCAACTTTTTACTTGTACAAAATAATATAGACTAGCGCCATTTCAGTAACATCAAATCTATCTAATACTGGTAAAGCCCATAATCAAAATTTCATTTGTTTCTACCTCAAGCACAAAATCTAGAAGTGGTTTTCACGTGGCAATAAAAGTATTCGTATTTTTTTCTTTAATCAGTACAGTCAATTTAGCCATCTCTGCTAGCTCCATCAGTTTTTGTAACCATTCCTCCATTGTAAGAATTGATGTAGTCTTCCATTTCTGAGCGTAGTGTAATCTTGTTGCTGTCAACATAACATCAAAGTTCCATATATATTTTTCCAGATCTTTGTCCATTAGCCCCAAGAGAAAAGTCTCTGGTTTTCTATATTTAGTTTAAGAATTTTCTGTATTAACATATGAATCCTACTCCAATATTTTCTTGCTTTATCACATGTCCAACATAAATGGTAGAACATCCCCTCTTTGCCTTTACATTTCCAACATTCATTTGAAATACCTTTATACATTTTTGATAATTAGTCTGATGTTCAGTACCAATGGTACATTGTCTTGTAACTTTTTTCTTTTAGATTATAATTTAATGTAAATTTTAATCCTTTATTACACATATTTGTGAACTCTCAAGCTTCCTCCTTCCGTTATATATTCAGGATGGACAGTATTTAATATTTATTTGCTATGTATATGTAGGGGTGTGGGTCTATACATATGTTGTACATAATATGTTTTAGGTGTCTGTCATGTATGTGTTTCACTTTGAAAGCGGGCAACTAAATTTCATTTTTCTGTATCGTTCCAATTTTAGTATATGTGCTGCCGAAGCGAGCACAAACTAAATTTCATTTTTGATGTGTGCCGTTATGCCCACAGTAAAAAAATGACAATAAAGGTTATTTCATCTCATCTCATCTCATCTCATCTTATCTTATCTTATTTTCCCATTGTTCAAGCATTATATTGTACCCCAAATTCCTTGCCCATTGAATCATACAATGTTTTACTTGTTCATTTTCCAGATTTAAATTCAATAATATTTTGTAAACTTTAGCATGATATGTTCATCACAGTAGGCTTTCCAATTCATTTTTAACAAAATTAAACCCATAATTCTTTTTATCTAATTTGAATCATTCAATTGCATATATATAAACCAATGGCAGACATGACCTTCTGATTCTAGCTCGTCCTTAGATTTGAGGGTAGGCTCACCCAGGTTGAAAGATTATTTTACCATTGGTCCACCAATTTGGCCTCATCACCATCTCTTTTCTTAAAAAAAGCTTCTTGCAGGGAAACCCAAAGTGGCATCTTCGGAGAGAACCTTGTTTTATATTTAATCCAAACGCTCAAAATAGCACGCCTGGTAAAATGATTATTAAAAATCAACACCATGCCAACCAAACCTTAATTCTTGGCCTTCTAGTTCCAGTAACCTCTTATTCTGAAGGTTCACCCATTCTTTTAGCCAAACCAAACAACTAGCATCGAAATACAGTTTCAAATCAGGTAAACCCAAACCCCCTCTTTCCTTAGCATTTTCTTCTTCTTCTTCTGCGATATCCATTATTGGACGTTGGCGATCATGTTTTTATCAGCAGCCGCATGAAAAAGTGCTGCTGAGTTTTGTCCAAACCAGTCCCTTAGATTTTGAAGCCACAGTGTTCTTCTTCGGCCTGGACCTTGTTTGCCTTCAATCTTTCCCTGGAGGATTTAATGGAGTATGCCGTATTTTTCTGGGTGTCCCATCACATGCCCGAAATATTCTAATTTTCATTTTTTAATTATTTTGATGATTTCCCTTGGCTTTCCCAGGCAGCTTATCACCTCCTCATTTCTGATCTTGTCAACCCAGCTTGTACATAACAGCCATCTGTAAATCCACATTTCAAATGCTTCTAGTCTCTTTAGGTGGCCTTCCATCAGAGACCAACTCTCTACTCCTTAGATCTTGCAATAATTTATATCTAATTCTTGGCGAACTGGGATTACAAATCTAAGGGAAAGCTGAAAATCAAGAAGGCAATGGGAATCCATGCTCCTTACCTCCCACAATTATGCTCTTCACATTTTCCAACACATTTGCTTTCTGATGGGGATATTATGGATCTCAAAGGTGAATTAGGTGTGCTGCTAATGTAATGTTAGGGAGACAATGGCTACAGCAGGTGAAAAAGCAATGATGTAAGGAGGAGAAGGTTATGTCATTCATCTAGTCAAAACCATAACTGCCTGTATTTTTCTATGTTTGGGGATGGAATTTGAATTTTTTAATATGTAATTTTCTTGAATTTAAAAAAAGAAAAAAATTGAGCAAGAAGAAAAATAATTGAAAAAAGGAAGATTTAGGAAAAGAGCAAGATAAAAGTGCAAAACAAAAAAGATAAAGAAAATATAAAAAGAATAACTTCCAACTTTGTTTGGAAATAAAGAATATATCAAATTCAGACTCTAAAGTTCCTAATAGTCTACATTATTTCTATAATCCCTTGTTTCTAATCATCAAATTCAAAAGTCACAATTTCATTTCTTCCAGTTTTTTTTCAAAAAGTGGTTTCTAGGTAGAAATGAAATTGGTCAGTCTTTTCTTTAATCAAAGCTGTCAGTTTCATCATTTCTGTCAATTCCATCGGCTTAACTATCCATTCTTCCATTGTAGATATCTGTAAGTCCTTCTACCTTTGTGCATATAGGAGTCTTGTTACTGTTATATATAAAAACAAAATTCCATAAGATCTTTCTATCCATTAACCCCCAAAGGAAAAATCTCTAGCTTCAACTGTATGTTTATTTTTAAAATCTTCTGACTCAAAATACATATTTGATCCCAATATTTTGTTGCTTTCTTAATGTTGTTTAGGGATGGAATATGAATTATTTTAGTTTTTGTTAGCTGAGCCCTTACAGATTTCTTTCTTTGAAATGGTAGAAACTGCTGCCAGATGCCAACACAGTTTTGTTTCACACCTAAAGGATAGCAAAAAGTCATACTATAGATACTGTAGTAATGGAAACATTAAATAACATAGGTTTTACTTCTGAGTAAATTTACAAAATCACAATTGTCCTGGCAACTGCATACTCAGATAAACAAAAATAACTCTTCAAAATCCCATAGTTAATAATAATGCCATAAATTGCTTAGTCTTTATGTAGATGCTGAAATAGGTACAGAAGGCAAAATGTTAAATCAATTTAGATAAAAGAATACTGCTTTTTCCTACTTACTGAGTTAATATTAACTTGGACATTTCCGCAATAGCAAAAAGACAAACTCAGCAAATTCTAAAGGCCCATTTTAAAAAGCCCTGTAAAATTCTGTAAGAAGAAAATGAAGATTTCAGTTTTCATAATTGATGCCTTCAGCAAACAGCCCTTTGGTGGAAATCCTGCTGCTGTTTGTCTTCTTGAAGAAGTAAGTTTTTAACAAATTCCTTTAGTTTAAAGAAAACTAACTAGCACGTCTTTGCTATTTGTAAGTGACGCCATTTCCTTTAACTAGAATTTACTTAACTATTTATACAAAGGATTAACTGATCCTTTGGATCTATATTGCTTATTTAAGTGACAGGTGGAGGTAGGGATGGGAGGTTCCTCCCCAGGAAAAACTTTTGCCAGTATTTTATGAAGCCACTGTATATCGCCAAAGATTTTGTCTGTATTCTGAGAAGGTTTGCAATTGAAACGGAAACACAGCCTTGCATGATCTATAACCAAGCTTTGCAAAGATAGAACACAGTTCTTTCACAACTGGAATTTTTCGACAAGTTTATGCAGGTTAGTTTCTTTCTTTTGAACCAAAAAGGTTGCCTGAACTTTGTATGGACAGTGGGCTGAGTATATAAAATTGAGAGAACAAATATAAAGTATTGTATTTCAAAGTTGCCACAAGATGGCGATGGTTAAAAACATACTGTACATTATGGTTACCAGGATATTCTTTTTGTTTTGCTGGGCTTTGAAAATAGAAAATTAAGTTGATAAATTGATGAAGATAACACCCGGATGCCCTTGTATCACTTCTAAGGTCCCTGCCTCAACTGTTCAGAATTCTTCAAAGTTCTTTTATTTTAACAGATTTATTTTCATTTGTCAACAAGAATAAAATACAAAACAAAAACAGAAAAACGAACTAACAATGAACTAATAATGAAAAAAAAATTGTGTACAAAAAAAGGGGGGGAGAAAAATGAGAGTTGAGAAGTCTCTAACTTCACAGCCATTTTTTGAAATGGAACAGGAGGGGGACTGTTTTATATTTAAATATTTGTTTAATTAAACTTATTACATTTGGTAAATTCAATCAATTTAGTGCCCAGCAACAACAACAACAAAAAAAAAATCAAAAAGAAGATGGAGCACAGAATACTTTGAGTATAATGAGTGCATTATATTTGGTCACACCAGCCATGGCAGTCCATTTGTTCCTAGCTAACCTTTGGCAGCCATTTTGTGTGTGTGTGTGTGAGAGAGAGATCATGTGTTCTCAACATTTCAGTTTGTGCTCCCCCAAACCTAACGATCTCCTGAAATATAGTCTAAAATTTATTTTGACACAGTATCAAGATCTCTTCTAGCTGTATTCTGAGTCTCACAGTTTGGATGGTGCCCCCCCCCCCAAAAGCATGCACTGCATCTGTCATGGTTCCGACTAATGAAACCAAATAAATCAGAACTCTGAGGCTTGAAGTTTCCTCAAACTTTATTGGACACATAATATCTGCACGGTCAAAAGTGAAACCAATTCTAAAATTCCTCCCAGGGATTCAATGTAACTAAATGTAACAGTTCCCTCCCCTCTACTATGCTAGTGATCACGCTACCCAATGAAAGCAATTGGCAATCTCCATGACACTTCTGTCCACCTTCCAGCTCCTGTGGGAATGACCTTGGTTCCCAAGGGATCACTCCGTGTTTAATTTAACAATACTTTTGTTTTCCCCCCTACCCCAAACTATGTGGCAACTTAGAACGACAAAGATGGCTTGAGCCAGGTTCGTTTCAGAAGTTGACAGCATCTATCGCAGTATTTCTCATCCTTGGCAACTTTAAGGCATGTGGATTTTAACTCCCAGAATTCCTTAGCCAGCATACTGGCTGGGGAATTCTGGGAGTTGAAGTCCATACCCTTAAAGTTGCCAAGTTTGAGAAACAGGTTCTAGACCTGTCTCATTTGCTCCTATTAACTTTAGGGGCTTTTGTAGTCCCACCCTAGGATTTACTTTAGGGCCAACTAAATGTTTGCCAAAGCTAACTATTCTCATAAAGTTGGGCACAGGCTCGATTCTGGGGGTTCCCTCCCACCATGAGTGCCACCTCTTTGATGTCAAACAAATGGTCGTAAGTCAAGGATTACCTGTAGAGCAGTGGTTCTCAACCTTTTTAATGCTGCGACCCCCAACCAGTCGTAAGTTGAGGACTACTCAACTGGTCGTAAGTCGAGGACTACTGAACTGGTGCAGCACCGTTTGCAGAATGGGACTTTTGGCGGGCTCAGCAGGGCAGAGACAGCCTGGACAATTCCTATTGGCTTTTGAAAGCCAATAGAATTAGACTCTATTCAAGAGAGTCTATTCTATTGGCTTTCAAAAGCCAATAGAATAAAAGGGAGTAGCACAGCTAAGGAAAAGGGGAAAAAATGGCGGACTGTGTTGTTTGGCGACCCCCGTGAAATGGTCGTTCGACCCCAAATGGGGTCCCGACCCACAGGTTGAGAACCACTGCTGTAGAGAGACACTATATTTGCATTTGGCTACCAGGGTTTGGCTGCCAAAATGTACACAATTACTAGAGGCCAGGAAAAAAGATTTTTCTGTACTCAGCTGCACACATAAACATAAATACATATATAAATACAGTAGTATTTATTGTCACTATGTAATGATTATAAAGAGCCAAACTTCATTTCAGAAAGCTGCCTGTTTATTTTTTATTGGTTTTCTTCTTGAATGTTCTTTTGTAAAGCAAAGTTAAAACATAAACAATTAATTTTTAAGGCTCCTTATGAACCTTCTTCAGATTTGCCCCCTTTTTGAAGTTGGTCCTTTATTTTATTCCAAGAAGATGTGGTCACCATAGATACAGAGCACATCACTTTGAATCAGTATTTTGGATAGACCATCGTCTCCCAAAGGAACTGGAACATGAGTGATTTTTTTTTCCCATGGGTCTTCTGTACCTCTTTGTTCAATAACAAATTGGGAGATAGAAAGAGTCCTCTCCCTTGGGTGTAAAGAAGAATGTGTTGTTTATAAGGTGCATTTAACACAAAATATTTATAAAAAAAGTGAAACATGATATGCTTGCTACAAAAGACATGGAATGCATTTGTAGATCAGTTTAAATTTGTTGTTTGTTTTAGGAGCTGGAAGAAGGTTTGCATCAAAAAATTGCTGTAGAAATGAACCTCTCAGAAACAGCATTCATCAGAAAACTGCACCCCACAGATGACTTCACCAAAAGTAAATAATCATTTGTGTACTGAAATGTAGCTTTGCTGAAAGTTGAATTATTAGAGGCACTTTTCATAAAGAAGTCGGGTGTTATTGTGATAGATTATGAAATGAAGGTGAATATCTATCCTATAGGTGAATGGCATCCATAGGTGGTTCAAGAAATTGCAGGTGGTGGGTATAATTGTCAAATCAAATCAAATCAAATCAATCAAAGTGATTCTCTAGATGACTAAGTCATAAATCAGCAGCAGTTCTTTCCGTACAGATATTGCATGACTCCTGTTCCTCGGACCAGATAACCACCTGGCCACTGCAGTTTGCACCAGTTGCAAATTCTACATTTTTTTTTCAAGGGTTACTCATTGGAGAGAATGTTGTGGTAGTCAAGGCAGATGGTCTCCATTCGCTATATTGTACAACATGCTCCTTCCAACAGCTAACACCTGCAAATTCAGTAACAACTTCAAAGGTCCCTCTAAAAGTGCAAATATGCTCTTTTTGGGGTGTGTGTGTGAATCCTAATCAAACAATCTTCTATTTTCACCACGTCACCAGAACCTCCACCTTATTTCAATTTAATTTCAGCTTATTCTCCCTCATCTTGCCCATTTTTGAGATATGGCAGTCTTGAAGAATACTGGTTGTTTCCTTGGTGTTGGGTGGTAGATCAAGATCCACTGAACCTTACTGTAAAACTCCAGATGGTCTCCCCAGCAGATTCATATGAATATTAAACTATATAGACCTATACAGATCATAAGATCCAGTGGAAGATTTCAAGCAATGCTATAGATATCAAACAATGACTTATGCAAGTGTTAGCGATCTATTCTAAGCTATTTAAGATATGATAAATAAATTTGATAAATAAATATAAAATTAGTTATTTCATTACTTTTTATGCAGCCCAATTAAATTCTATAAAATTAACCTTTGATATCTTAAATAGCTTGGAATAGATTGCTTGGGGATAATCTTTTCCTGCAGGTACCTTGTGGATTACCAGATAGTCTTTAGAGGCATTTTTTTAAATATATGAAGCTTTTTCAGAATGCCCCCCCCCAAAGAAATGACCTAGGAATCAGTTTTTCATTTTTCTTCATTGTATTTTTCTACTTTTTTTTTTTTTTAAAAAAAGAACATTGAGTTTTCTGAGTTCCTTGTACCATTTTTGCTTCCTTGTTTAATTTTTCTGCTGTTGAAACATCATTTCCAATAAGAGTGATTCTTGAGCATCCTCTTTCAGGTTCGTGTTTTGGATTAAGATGGTTTACACCTACAAATGAAGTCCCTCTGTGTGGTCATGCCACTCTTGCATCTGCTGCTGTGTTATTCCATAAAAGTAAGTGGTTATTTAACCATTCATAGTTTGGCACAATACATATTTTTTAACCATCCTGATGGTTATGCATTTCTGATTTTAAAAACAGAAAACATGAACCCCACCCTTACTTTCATAACTCTTAGTGGAGAATTAAAGGCCAGGCAAGCAGGAGATGAGATTATCTTGGATCTGCCACTTTACTTCACTTATCCACAGGTTGGCTTTACTTGGTATCTTTTGAACATTTCCTTTTAAAAGTGAAAGGCACACATGATTTTAATATTGCTTTCATATTTCTAGGATTTCCAGGAAGTAGAAGAGTTGGTAAAGGTAATTTGCACAGTTTTTTCCCCCATTGTATTTATCACCATAAAGGCTACCTTAGGCTTGCTCACTGTCACATTTCTTCCTATATTTATTTATTTATTTATGAGACTTATATACCGCTTTAAGTGCAAGCACTCTCTAAGCGGTGTACACCAGTAAGCAATGTATATATGTTGCCCCCAACAATCTGGGTCCTCATTTTACCTACCCCGGAAGGATGGAAGGCTGAGTCAACCTTGAGCTGGTGAGATTTGAACCGCTGACCTGCTGAACACAGTCAGCTAAAGTGGCCTGCAGTACTGCACGCTAACTGCTGCGCCACCTTGGCTCATTATATATGTGAGATTTAATCCCCAAACTAAATGAAAACAATGTCTAAATATGGTACAAACAAAATGGGAAGTTAAATATTAAAAGCCTAATCTAAAACCCACTAATTCAGGGTCAAAACCTGTAAGATGGTGGGTGAGACATTGCATCTAAATCCCACCCCTTTTGTATTGCATGCGGATGATGCTGTTAATGAAAATATTATGGCTGTGGTTGATCTCCCTTTTTAATCCATTTCTAGAATTTTCCCTATATACATATTCCATTTTTCTTTGCATTGGGTACCTTGCCAGAAAGTGCACTCACTTTTAACAAAACAGTAATAAAAATTCTACATGGAAAGTTTCTCCTTAGCAACAGAAGTCAGCCAACGGTGTCCGCAGGATATGTCCAAAAGGCAATTATAGCTCTGCACATCTCTCTCTCCCTCCCTCCCCCCCCTCTCTCTCACACACACACAAAAGACAAAGCTTTGATCAAACTATCTCAATCCCATCTTGCCTTTTGAAACATGCTCTACAAACACCCCTAAATCCAGTTCTAAAGAAGGACTAGGGGTGACATGTTATGTGTGTTCCAATGTCTCAGGGGTTGCCACAAAGAAGAGGGAGGGGCAACCTATTCTCCAAAGCACCTGAAGCAGGACAAGAAGCCACAGATGGAAACTAATCAAGGAGAGAAGCAACCTAGAACTAAGGAGAAATTTCCTGACAGTGAGAACAATAAACCAGTGGAACGAGTTGCCTTCAGAACCTGTGGGTGCTCCAACAGTGGAGGTTTTTAAGAAGAGATTGGACAACAGTTTGTTTTAAATGGTATAGAGCAGGGGTATGCAACCTTGGCTCTTTTATGACTCGTGGACTTCAACTCCCAGAATTCCTGAGCCAGCATGGCTCAGCATGGAAACCTCTCCCTTTCCCCTCAGCATGGCTGGCTCAGGAATTCTGGGAGTTGAAGTCCATGAGTCATAAAAGAGCCAAGGTTGCCTACCCCTGGTATAGGGTTTCCCTACCTGAGAAGGGGGTTGGACTAGAAGATCTCCAAAATCCCTTCCAACTCTGTTATTCTGTTATTACTGGCATTAAAAAGTTTCCTGATGTGTTTGGGGATCCTCTGGTTGGTGCCTGTTAGAGATTTAGCAAAGAGTGCTTAAATCATGGACTGAAGTTAAGGCTAATACAGACTTCAGGGAACAGGGATAAAACTGGTGTTGGAGGTCATCTAGTTCAACCCCCTGCTCAGGCAGGAAACCCTATACCATTTCAGACAAATGGCTCTCCAGTTTCTTCTTAAAAACTTCCAGGGTTGGAGCATTCACAGCTTCTGGAGGCAGGTTGTGCCACTGATTAATTGTTCTAACTGTCAGGAAATTTCTCCTTAGTTCTAGATTGCTTCTCTCCTTGATTAATTCCCATCTGTTGCTTCTTGTCCTGCTTTCAGGTGCTTTGGAGGATAGCTTGACTCCCTCTTCTTTGTGGCAGCCCCTGAGATATTGGAACACTGCTATGATGTCCCCCCTCGTCCTTCTCTTCATTAGACTAAAATGACTAATGAAGAAACGTTTGCTATGTGGACATGAGAAAAATATGGTAGCTCTCTTTGGCTTATTCTGTCCCATTTTATCATTAGGCAGCAGTGGGGGATATGAACATTCAAGAGGTCCGTTATTCTCCTGATACAAAAAAGCTACTTATCTGTCTCAGTGAGGTGTATGAAAGGTATATGAATTTCAATTGCACATTTCTTTAAATGATTGCATGTAAATTTAAAAGAGAATAGACCTGAGGTATGTAAAAGCATTTGGGTTCACAGCTGTTTAACTTTAAATGGGAGGAGTGTCAGAGTAATGATTTAGAAGCTAACCAGCTGATGTAATGTACGATGTAATGATGGGAATGACTCAGCAGGGTCTATGTCTCTTTAAAAGCCAGCTGGGTCTGTGTCTCTTTAAGAGCCTTTGTACAAAAGGATGGTTCTGCTGCTGTGTTCTCTCTCTTCTGTATTCGTGCTATAACTATTGTGTGTTGGAGACTGCTGTATTAACATGTGTATGTATATTGTTCCTGGTGTATGATATTGTAGATCAGGGGTCTACACGCTGGCTGAGGAATTCTGGGAGTTGAAGTCCACAAGTCATAAAAGGGCCAAGTTTGAAGACCCCTGTTGTAGACAGTGTAAGATAAACCACCATTTAGTATAGACTACTGTTTACTGTGTTTACTCCTGGGTTATCTCAGCGCAATAAGACTGTGCTTGCTCTGACAAGTCTCGTCTCCCTTCCTTTGTTGATTTCCTTCATTTCTTTGATCCTCACAAGCTATGGGAAGGAAACATTACCTCTCTCTGTTAATTTTGCTTTGCTTATCCAGCTTGATGCCCTCCAGATGTTTGGACTATACCTGGCACTCCTTAGTTGGTTAGGAATTCTACTTTCTGGGGATTCCTAGTTCATTAGGGCAGGGGTGTCCAATATTGACAACTTGAAGACTTGTGGACTTCAGCTCCTGGCTGGCTGGGGACTTCTGGGAGTTGAAGTCCACAAGCCTTCAAGTTGCTAATATTGGACTCTCCTGATTTAATGGATACCACACAGAGGAATCTCATTTTGGACAATCTTCTTATTACTGGCCTTTTTTCTTCTTCTACTAAGCTTAATACTTTGCTTTCAAATCTGTATTTTGCATGGAAAATGTGCCAGCAGTCAGAGCTAAAGCTTACAATTGCCATTGGTATTATAGTAATAAAAATGTAATATCATTCAATTCTTTGTTGTTGTCACTGGTATTTTTAGTTTTTCATTTTCAAATGTTTTCGAATGTTTGTCACCAAGGTATGATTTGGAGAAATTAAAAGTGGATGCCCAACGTCTTTTGTTGGCCGACAAGACTGGAAAAGTCAAAGGTGTAATAATCACAGTTAAAGGAGATTCTCATAAAAATCATGAAAGCTATGATTTTTACTCTCGTTATTTTGCACCATGGAATGGTGTTTCTGAAGATCCTGTCACAGGTAAGTTTGTGTACGGAGGGCTTTCCCTATTTTTATTAGATATAGGTGAATAATTCTTGTTTAAAAATAGTAAAACAAGAGAACAGCAAAGCCCCAAAATAATATTTCATCTGTAAGAGGAACAGAACATGTGTGGAAACATAACGTTTCCTAAGCAACCGCTATTAAAGTAGATTTTTATCTATAAAAGTCAGTGCACAATAAATTTGTTTGTCTAACTGGAATATTGTATCCAGTTTTGGCCATCAGGATACAAAAAAGATGTTGAGACTGTAGAAGGGGTGCAGATAAGAGCAACAAAGGTAATTAGGGAACTGGAGAATAAAACATACAATGAATGGGTTGCAGGAATTGGGTAAGTCTAGTCCAGGGGTAGGCAACCTTGGCTCTTTTATGACTCGTGGACTTCAACTTCCAAAATTCCTGAGCCAGCATGGCTCAGCTTGGAAACCTCTCCCTTTCCCCTCAGCATGGCTGGTTCAAGAATTCTGGGAATTGAAATCCACAAGTCATAAAATGGCCAAGGTTACCTACCCCTGGTTTAGTCTAAAGAGAAGGACTAAGGGTGACATGATAACAATCTTCCAATATTTATGGGGCTGTCAAAAAGAAGAGGGGGTTAACCCATCCCCCAAGGGCAAGAAGTAATTGATGGAAACTTACAAGGAAAAAAATCCAACTAGAACTAAGGAGAAATTTCCTGACAGTGAGAAAAATTAACCAGTGGAACTTCTTGCCTCCAGAAGTTGTGGGTGCTCCATCAGTGGAGATTTTAAAGAAGAGACTAGAAACCATTTGCCTGGAATGGCACAGGGCAGTGTTTCCAACCTTGACAATTTTAAGGCATGTGGACTTCAACTCCCAAAATTCCACAGCCAGCAATGTCAAGGTTGTCAAGGTTGAGAAACACTGGATAGGGTCTCCTAGAAGACTTCCAAGGTCCCTTCTAATTCCATTATACTGTTATTGTTACTATCTTTAGTGTGCCTTAGGACTGTTTGATGACAAATTTTTGATGTAACATAATGTATGTTTTTTTCTTTACTATGTACATGGTACGGTTGTGCAGCATTTTGGAAATAATTCAGAAAAGGCGTTTTGGAGTGCACAGAATGTAACTCCTGCCTGCAACTCTTTAAAGCCACCATGTGTTTTCCAGAAATGGTATCCCGTGCAACAGTCACATGATCCTGGAGAAAGACATGGCAGTTTTAATGAATTGCAGAGAAGGCTGCAGGCATGTCCCTGGATGTTCCAAAGCACAATTGTGGAACTGAATCTGAAGCATTGCCCAGCTCTAGTACTTAGTACTTAGTTATGAATAAGTGGGTGTCTGGGAAGTCTAATCAGTTCTTAAAATGAGTAACAGAAAATGGGCAATAGTACTATTATGTATTGTAGTCTTTAACAGCCCTTCGGTTCAGATGCCTTCTGAAGGTGTTAGATTAAAAGTCTGACTGGTCAGGGATGACACAATTATAACCCAACACACATTCAGGAAAGTGCCCTTGAAGCAGATTTGATCCACTGAAAATGGTGGGATTACAACACAGAATGAGAGGCTAAAAATTCAGAAATATTTATTTATTATTTATTTATGAGACTTATATACCGCTTTAAGTGCAAGCACTCTCTAAGCGGTATACACCAGTAAGCAACGTATATATATATTTACATTGCCCCCAACAATCTGGGTCCTCATTTTACCTACCCCGGAAGGATGAAAGGCTGAGTCAACCTTGAGCCGGTGAGATTTGAACCGCTGACCTGCTGGACACAGTCAGCTAAAATGGCCTGCAGTACTACACTCTAACTGCTGCACCACCTCGGCTCTTTTAATATAGCAAACAACTGAGAGAACATTTCCAGTATATATGTTTTTTACTTGTTAGCTGATAGGAAATTTATTACAGAAATCTCAGCAATTTATACTGTTGCAATAATTACTACTGAAGTTTGTAAAGTGCTTTGAACACTGATCTGCTATAACATTGTCATTGTTATCACAACTATTATGTCTTATTTTTCTTTAAGGATCTGCTCATGCTGTATTAAGCAGCTACTGGTCACAACAGCTGGGAAAAAACAAACTATACGGTAGGAATTCCTGTGATTTTACAGCGTTCCCCTTTTAGGTCTCTGAGTATAATCTGCCTAAATTTTATTTGCAATATCCTTCTGAACTCTTGAACTGAAACAAGGACACTGGTTGTTTTCTGGGTAGCTCTGATACTGTACAAATGGTACAGATTCAGCCATCCTTCCTTGCCAGATTTAATCAAGATGAAAAACAAACCAACCAGGCATAATCGTTTCTTCTAGTTTGCTCACACAATGAAATTACTGTAGCTTTAATTCTAAAATTAAGGATTACGGCAAATCAAGGGCATTTAAATCAGTGGCCATCTTCAGGTAGTCTTCAGCTTAAACATTTGCTTAGTGACCGTTCAAAGTTACAACGGCACTGAAAAAAAAAGACTTACAACCATTGTTTTGCACGTATGACCACTGCAGCATCCCCATGGTCACATGATCAAAATTTGGATGCTTGGCAACTGATTCATATTTATGACGGTTGCAGTGTCCTGTGGTCAGGCAATCAGTTTCCGAGACCTTCTGACAAGCCAAGTCAATGGGAAAGCCAGATTCACTTTACAATTGTGTTATGACTGCAGTGATTCACTTAAAAACTGTGGCAAGAAAGGTCGTAAAATGGGGCAAAACTCATTTAACAACTATCTCGCTTCGCAACAGAAATTTTGGGCTCAGTTGGGGGTCATACGTTGAGGACTTCTTGTATTTTTGGAGAAATGTCGATGAAATTGTTTATATTTCATCTATTCCAGCCTGGCCTGTGTTTGTATTGTAGGCAGTTGCGTTCAATTCTCCTATCTATCTGCTCTTCAGCAGTGATCAGCACGTTAATTTGGATAGAGAGAGAAACGTATTTCCTGTTTACCTGATTAATTCTGTCATTGTTTAGCATTTCAGTGCTCCAGTCGTGGGGGAGAGTTGAAGCTTCTGCTACGCCAAGATGGAAGATTAGACATTGGTGGACAAGCTTCCTTTGTGTTAGAGGGTTTTTTGGCTCTTTGAAAAATAATTAAAAGCGCTCAATAATTATACGCTTCCGTTTTGAACTCACTGCTGATATGGATTTGTTTTTTACATAGAAAATTATTGTTGGATATTCAAATCAGTCTTGATCTTGGCAACTACATGGACAAGGTTTCTTCGCAACATTTTCAGAAGTAGGTTGCCATTGGTTTCTTAGGGCCAAGAGAAAGTGGCTGATCCAAAGTCACTCATTGTTCTGGTTTTGTCCAGGTCTTCTCTATCATTTTTGTCCAAGATTATTAAATGTAACCTGGGCAGTGTATGGATTGGATTGTCTGTGACCTGCTGATGGCTCAAGCAAACTGTCAGTCATTGCTACTGGTGCAACTTTTTGTGTTCATTAGGATTTGAGAATACTGTATTTCAACCTTATATTGCTGATAATGTTGAATTGCACTTTTTTGGTTATACAGAAGTCTTTGTCCTTACTTCTTCCCTTGGTTTAGAATAGAATAGAGCTGGAAGGGACCTTGGAGGTCTTCTAGTCCAGCCCCCTGCTCAAGCAGGACAACTTACACCATCTCAGACAGGTAAATGGCCAGTCTGTTCTTAAAAATCTCCAGTGATGGAGCGCCCACGATTTCTGGGGATAAGCCAGTGATGGGATTCAGCCACTTCGGCAACAATTTTTTTGTTGCCCAGGCCCAGAATGGACTTCTGGAAGCAGCATCCACACAGAGAACTGATTGTTTACATATTTGAATCCCACCATTGGGGTAAGCTGTTCCACTGGTTGATTGTCCTCACTGTCAGGAAGTTTCTCCTTAGTTCCAGGTTGCTTCTCTCTTTGATCAGTTTCCAACCATTGTTTCTCGTCCTTCCCTCTGGTGTTTTGGTGAACAGCCTGGCCCCCTCTGCCTTTTGACAGCCCCTCAGATACTGGAACACCGCTATCATGTCTCCCCTATTTCTTCTTTTCTTTAGACTAGCCAAACTCAAGTCCTGCAGCTGTTCTTTGTATGTTTTAGTCTCATGGCCCCTGATCATCTTAGTTGCTCTTCTCTGAATTTTGTGAGTATTCCCCGGGGTTTGTGTTGTAGTTCCACTTTGTTCATTTTGTCTTTGAATTCTCTGCTTTCTTTCTTTCAGTTCAATTATCATATTTGTGTCAATGACATCCACGTGTGCTTCTCTGCTCCGCTTCTGAGAAAAATCCACCCATTCTCTTTGTCCCAATGTGAGAAGGCTCACTGTTTTTAGATGACAAGACTACATGAAACATCTGTTTGCCTTAGCTTAGCCCATGCACTTTAGAACAGTGTTTCTCAACCTTGACCATTTTAAGGCATGTGGACTTCAACTCCCAGTATTTCACAGCCAGCATTGCTGGCTGTGGAATTCTGGGAGTTGAAGTCCACATGGCTTAAAATGGTCAAGGTTGAGAAACACTGCTTTAGAAGGACTTTAGGCCTTCTGGAAGTGGCGTTTTCCCTTTTATCCCATCTCCTGCTATGCTGTGCAGGCATGTTGATCCCTGTGGGAAGTTGTCTTGAATGCAAGAAATAGGAACAACTCCAGCACTTTGCTACCACCTTGTGGTAGATATTTGAACTGTTGGCTGATTGACCAATAGTAGAAGACTTTTATTGTATGACAAAGAGAGAAAGAATAGCAATAGGAATAGCACTTAGACTCATATACCACTTCACAGTGCTTTACAGCCCTCTCTGAACGGTTTACAGTCAGCCTATTGCCCCCAACAATCTGGGTCCTCGTTTTACCGACCTCAGAAGGGTAGAAGGCTGAGCCAACCTTGAGCAGATGAGAATTGAACTGCCAAACAGCTGGCAGTCGTCAGTCAGCAGAATTAGCCTGCAATACTGCATTCTAACCACTGCGCCACTACGTCTTTTAGAAGAAAAAAAATGCTGCCCATATAGCAAGGGTCTTCAAACTTGGCCACTTTAAGACTTGTGGACTTCAACTCCCAGAATTCCCCAGCCAGCCATGCTGGCTGGGGAATTCTGGGAGTTGAAGTCCACAAGTCTTAAAGTGGCCAAGTTTGAGGACCCCTGCCATACGATAATTAGATTAGTGCCCCCCCTGCTCCCGGTGGCTGGCTGGGGAATTCTGGGAGTTGAAGTCCACATATCTTAAAGACGCTAAGAAACATTGCACATGATAAAACTGCTGCAACTGCTATATGCAGAAATGAAATTCTATCCATTTCATCCTTACTCTGGATAGAACCACTGTCTTTGCTTGAAGCAGGCTGTTCTCTCTTAGTGAGCTTGTTTATAATTTCCTTCCTCCCTCCCTTTTTAAAACATTTCTTTTTTCCTGATGATGGTGGTGATGAGGGGATTGAAGCTACTCCAATTTAAGGGGAGGTAATGGTCTTTACAGTTTCATTTTTTTTTGCACTAAAACATAGTCATGTTTCATATATTATTTACAGTCCCTTCTCCAGCACGTTTGCTATATGCTGGAGCCGGGGTTTCAAGCTTGGCCCTTTTATGACTTATGGACTTCAACTCCCAGAATTCCTCAGCCTGTGTGCCTGGCTGAGGAATTCTGGGAGTTGAAGTCTACAAGTCATAAAAGGGCCAAGTTTGAAGACTCCTGCACTGGAGCCTTCAAGGAATATTTATTTAACCAATTTATATAAATCACACATGGTGGGAGAAAGACCAGCCTGCAGAACGAATCACCTACTGTTCATGTGTCAGTAGTGTCATAACTGCAGAGTGATGGCTGTCCTGATGAGAACAGGAGAGGGGGGGCTCTCTGAATAATATTTCCAGCAATTAAAGTGTCTTTGATTAATATATATAATTCTTAGAAGTAACAAAGAAAAATTTCCATGAGGAATGTGGAGTGTGATAAGAACTTGTTTAAACCACCTAAAGTTAAGGACTGTACATAAAATTGAACTTTACTAGCTTGCAAACCTTTCTCACTATAATCATAATGTAAAAGCCACATCTGTGAAATATGAGGATGAGCATTAACAAGAACATACTAAGAATGTTATGGGATGCTATGAAATGTTACATGGTACATATAAAGTTACACAACCGTGATGCTTGACTGAAGCTCCACCTGTTTTTTTTATATGCAAGAGGTGGAGCTTCGGTTTATTTATTTATTTATTTATTTTTAAAATTTATAAGCCGCCCCACTCCCGGAGGACTCTGGGCGGCTAACAATAAAAACATATAAAACATAACAAAACAAACAGTACAAGAACAGTCATCCAGGGGTTAGATTTTATAAACCCCAAGCCTGCCGGAAAAGTCAGGTCTTAAGCAGCTTACGGAAAACCAACAGGGTGGGAGCGGTCCTAATCTCCAGGGGGAGCTGGTTCCAAGAGGTGGGCGCCATCACAGAGAAAGCCCTCCACGGCCCCGCCAAATGACACTGCTTGGCCGACGGGACCTGAAGGAGGCCCAGCCTGTGGGATCTAACCGGACGAAGGGAACTATGAGGTAGTTGAACCATGGTAGCTGCTATCTTGACTTTTTTGACCAGACCCTGCAAATATTCTTGTCTCAGCTGTGTCCTTATTGTTCAAACGTTGATGGTAGTGAAGACAAGGAGTGGATCTGCTTTGGTGGAATTGGAGAGGGAAAACCAAATCCCTGAGAGTTTGTGGTTAGTAAAATTAATCACTGTTGGAGGCTGTGTGTTTCTGCCTATAATTTACCTACGTGAAAAATGTGTAGCATTCCTGGAGTGCATTAAGAAGGCAATTATTGTGTTCATTTGTCCAAACCTAACAAATAGATGGTAGCGTTTTGTTTCCTCCGGGAATAAATAATCACCCAGGTCTAATAAGTATTTTCCCATCACAATTTTCGTCATGAAACCACCTACTTGCCGCTGAATGCAGCTTTCTCCCACCTTCCTAGTGCAATTTTTATTTCGACATAATTTATTTCTTCATTGTCTCAAATTCTGTTCCAGGCAGCAGAGATCTGGAGTGGGTGGAGGGGGTTGGAGATGCCCAACACAGGTGGGAATCTGAGCTCTAAGCGTGTTTGTAATCAACAGATTAGCTAATCAGCCATGATTTATTAATGATGCATTAGGTATTCCTGATTTTGCATTTCTGCAGGCTAAACGGAGCCTTAAAGAGGCTTTTTTATTAATCATTGTGGTGCTAATTGCAGACACTTGCAGAAGGACTGCTAATTAAACATGCAAGCTATGCAGAATGAATTCTTAGCTGCTGAGAATGGCAAGAATGGAAAGTCTTGTTTTCTGAGCTGTGAAACTTTATTCTTCAGAAAATATTACAATATTGACCCAACAAGCTAAAATTTACCCCACAATTGTTTTTGTTGGGTATCATTACTGATTGTGATGCTAAGGAGGTTATACTGATGTTAAATTTAATCACAGCGGCAAGGTTGTTAGTAGGGCAATACTGGAAGAAGGAATCTTTGCCTACCTTTCAAGAATGGTTTTTTAAGGTTTCTTATTTGGCGGAAATGGCAAAGATTTCGGCTTTTTAAAAGGATCAATTGCAAGAGAAGTTTTTTGCGGTATGGGAAAAATGGATAGATTTTATGCAACATAAGTTGGATATAAAAAATATTACTTGGTTTTTTAATAACTTATATATAAATCTTAATATTTTATAGATTGTATTTTTTTTCTTCTTCTCTTTCCTTATATTTCTTATTTTTATTTTAGCTTATTTTACTTCTTTTTATATATATATATATATATATATATATATATATATATATATATATATACATCTTTTCTTCTTTCTTTTCTTTTTTATTCTTTTTCTTTTTAAGCATTTTTCTTTTTTAATATTTATGCTTTTTTACATATATATTATTGTTAATTATCTTATAAATTTATGTAATGTATTTAGATATATTTATGGTTTATACTTTTTAAATCTTTTTTAAAGATTTTTAGAAATTTTAATTAAGCCTATATTCAGCTCTGGGAAGGTTGGGGGATGGAGTGGGAGGGTTAGGGTGGTTGGGTAGGGTTGTTTTTTGTTTTTTGTCTTTTCTTTTCCCTATTTGTAAAAATTTTAAAAATTTTC